TGATTTGCCGGCGTAAGAGGGCAGCGAACGGCTCAAACATCCGGGTGGGGTTGAACCAACTGCAAATACCCTGGCTCAGACTTACACATGGCACAAGAGTGAGCTCAGGTAGGAAGCGGACCCGTCAATGCCAACTTGCCCTGCGCAGGCAAGGTGTATTTTACTCACATCGGCAACAGTGGCAAGTCCAGCTGTGATACACGACTCCATCCCATCCTTGTCAAACTGTTGTCATCTACAGCCACAACTACATTGATTCGTCATATGTTCATATCGTGTTTTGATGCGCTTTGGGGTGCTATTGATTGCAGACATCCTGCAACACCATGTTCGCCCACCACAAATCAATCCTGTGATAAATGATAAGCCACCAGCTTCTTCCTCCAACGCCCTCATGGCAGGTTGTTGTGTTGTGGAAGTGGTGTTTTTGAGGGTGCCCTTTGCACCTTGGCTTAAACGGAACCTGGCAGGAAAATCACGGTCACCATTATTTGGAATCTCGCCATTTGGACACATGCAGTCGTGGCTAAAAAGTCCCTTTGGTTTCCCTTTGAGGCGACCCCATTTCAGGGTACCCTTCACCTCAAAAAGCAGCAGCCCGGCCTCAAATCGGCGTGCCTTTTAAAAAATATGGGGTTTCCAAGTGGTTTCCCTTTTTGACCTACCCAAAGAGGGCCTTCCTCAGAGAAAATGAGAGACCCAAAACAGGACACCGGCAGCACCTTGGCGGAGTCCTTGTTCGTCTTGGGTGCCGCGGTGTGCACTCCGGCACTCGCCGCCTCCGCGGGCAAGGCGGGGCCCCACGGGAGGCAAAACCACCGGAGGGGCGGTTCTCACAATGGGGGGGGATGGATTGGGGTCCCCCTTTTTGAACTCACCGTTGCAATCCCATTTGTTGGGCATTGTATCCAAAAAGAGCTGGCTCGCAATGTTGCCTTTGAGTTTTTCTGACACTAAGGGGTCCATCGCTGTGAGACACATGCTTTTGACGTAGCTTAAGCTGCTGGCACTTGGCTTTTGCTCTTGTTTTTTTGGGTGAGGAGTAACTCATTTGGTGGCAACGTTTAGTGATCTGTCTAAAAATGGCCTGATTTAAGAGGACTGCTACATAGACTATTATGAATGAATTGCACAGCTAGGCCAATAATGCGCTATCGTTTGTGTTGGTGCTGACAGCATGAAACCCTGGAATTGCAATGAATCACCAGCTATTTACTTACCTAGTCTCTTTTACAGGCTGGTGATGTCAAGAGATGTAAACATCATTTCCTGAATGTGAATAGCATGTATTAACGATGTTTCATCAACTCATTTGGCGGTTTTTGTGAAGCTTGGAGACGTTCTGTGCGGCTTGATGCCACAATTACACGATTGTGTGGCACACGCGCTACTCATACGAGCAGCTACAGGGTTCGATGTATGCGAGTACTTGGAATAGTTTGGCGGCTTGTTCCGGTCCACCAAAGTTGTTTGGAGTCGTGTGGGCAGGGAAATGTGGTTCGGCAACCGTCCACGGACGGTGTCCCGTGCTTTGGATGAGGTCCTGGAGCACGCTTCCGGCCTGGAACGCAGCTCCACCCAAAACCGTGCGGCGCTGCGCAGGCAACCCCGCAAAAAAGGGGGAGGAGTGGGAAATGGGGGGGGGGGGGAAGATGGAAAAAGGGGCAAATAAACTCTAGCTGTGGGGCGCTGATTCAAGTTGTGATGGCTAGATCCTTGAGATGGTCATGTTAGTGCTTATGCTGGCTGGTCCAGCAGTTCCTGTCCTGGCATGTACATCGGTTCCAAGAAAAGGCGGCGGCTTGCGGCTTGCTGATTTTGGCTCAGCAAACTTTGCTCTTTCGACAACCTCGAGCCATTGGTCAGTTGCCGCGCCCCAAAGTGGTTTCTTGATACCCCACTATACCCCACTTGGGGACCCGCGAGTCCCACAGTTGCGCGAAACGCCTTGAGGCGGTTGCTAAGATCACTGGCCCAGCTTCGGGATGCCAACCGCGAGATGCAGGAGGAGTCCGGGCCGAACCTTTCTCTCAAGAAACTGTCCTGGATGCTTCAGGTGGTGTTTTTCTGGCCTGGCAGGGGTTGAGATCTTGGAATTGTGCAGGATTTCGCTCAGGGGCCCAGGGAACTGAGTGAGGGCAAAATTGGAATGTCATGGGATTTCTGGTGATCATCCGGTGAAATCCAGGAGTGCAAGAATTTGGCTGGAACGTGTCCTGAGAATGAGTCGTGGCAGCCACCTCTTGTCAGAAAGCCTGCTCCTTTGACGCAGGAATTCAGAAGGAATTCAGTCTTTGCGTTTGACAAGGGTCATTCTTGAGCTAGATGGACTCCTTCCTCTTTTTCATACTCATTGTGCTATGGAATTCCCACCGCAACTCGCAGCAATGAAATCCCAGGTACATCCTGACCTGGAATTCCACTCAGTCCTTTGCTTTTGGTGGTGTTTCCTGGAGAATGCAGTTTTACGTGTCCATGGGGTTCACGAAATGGCAACTCCCGACGCCTCACCTGCAAAAAAAAATGGCGAGTTGCTATCGCTGTCACTTCTCCTGCTATTGGGTGTGTTTATTTGATGGCACCCTTGTTGGCGTTTTAAAAAAATCATTTTGAGGATCCCCTTGTTAGACATCCCCTTCTGGGTGTGTTCTTATTGAGTTGCTGCCCCTTTTGAACCCATTTCCAACCCAAGAGGAGGCCGAGGCCCAACTTTTAGTCGGTTTGAAAGAAACCACCCTCCCAGTTGGTGGCCCCCCTCCGCCCTTTGTCCTTTTTGGTTGGTGGCTGTCCTACAAATGGCGAACCCCAAATTGGATTTGGATCACTGGCTGACAATGTGTTCCAACAAATCGCCCAAAATCAAGTGGTAAAACCAAGCCACGCTGAGACCAACCCATTTGGGGTGAGGAGCTTGCCGAGCCCGGCTCTGTGGAGATCCTCAGCGGGGACGAGGCGCCGCATGTTCGCGAGGAAGGTCACGGGCGGAGGTCTTTGGCAACCAGCTGTTGTTGGTTTGCTTTGTGTGATTTTGGTGGTTTTCCCAAACGGCAAAAGACACCCCATGGGTTTCGTCCATTCCCTACCTTCTCTCAAGGTGATTTCTCCGGAAATCAGCATAGGATGAATTACGTCAAGACCCTGATGTTCCCAGCGTATGCACGCGCAAGTCTTTGGGATGCTCCACCCAAACGAGAAATCGGCCAATGGTTGATCAAAGCTCGGAGAATCCGTCTGCACCATTGCATTACTTTTTTCAACAGCTCGGGTTGTAGGGCTGTTGTATCTCCATTTCAACTTGGTTTGCTGTCAGGTTTCGTGTCCGAACTTATAATGTGAATGAAGCAGAAACAAGAAGCACGCGGTGTAGCCAAACCGAACCGAACAACACTGCAGAAGCACTAACAATAGAAACAAAACAAACGATACTCAACATGTGAAAATGCGTCATTCTGACCATGGCTGTAACGACCATCATGTTTTTCTACATTGACATATGGCAGGGATCGATTTGAAGCGATACCAAAAGGACAACCGCACATTGGGGATGCATGGCAAGTCTTGCGAGCTCCACGTGCAAGTTTTCTCCTCACAGCCTGTGTGTGTGTGTGTGTTTGCGTGTTGAGGGCTGGTGGGTGGGTGGGTGGGTGGGTGGGTGGGTGGGTGGGTGGGTGGGTGGGTGGGTGGGTGGGTGGGTGGGTGGGTGGGTGGGTGGGTGGGTGGGTGGGTGGGTGGGTGGGTGGGTGGGTGGGTGGGTGGGTGGGTGGGTGGGTGGGTGGGTGGGTGGGTGGGTGGGTGGGTGGGTGGGTGGGTGGGTGGGTGGGTGGGTGGGTGGGTGGGTGGGTGGGCTTTGACTCATGGCCTAGCTCTAGGAGCTGCTGGAGGACGAGGATGACTTGAGCATCCCAGCCATGGACCCCGGAGAGAGGCCTTTTCCCAGCCGGTTGCAGTCGGGCCGGGGACAGGAACTCTATGGTTTGGATCGCTTTCAGACAGGCCGACCTTGGACCCTCCATAGGCCAAGGCTGGCACCTGTGCTGTTTCTCGATGCGTTTATTTGGTTGTTTTGTGGGGGGGGGGGGTTGGGTCCTGTTGTATTTTCCGAGAGGTTTGGAAGGTCTGTTCGGGTGCCCGTCGCCAGGGCGTTACTTGAGAACGTCCAGAAGTTGGGCCTCCAGTTCGAGGAGATGTTCAAAGAGGCCGGCAAAGCAGCGGAGAACCCACGTCGGCATTGCCGTTTTTTTTGGTGTGTAAATGTTTAGGCAAGTCTCGTGTCCTGTCTTGTTTCGCGTTCCATGCCTTCATGTCTAGCCATAGTTTGCTTTGTTTCACAGTTACATGTTTGGTTTGGGCGTATCATATACGTTTGTGCGTGCGTATTTATGCAAAATCCTTCCTTCATGCAAGGCAAGAGTCTCGTCTTGGCAAGCTTCAGAAGATCAGGGACTTTCCAGTGCTGATAAGTGTCTAATCACTGACCCAGCATATTTGATCTCATGTCGTTTTGACGTGATTAGTTGAATGGGCAAATGCGATTTGAGCCGTTCGATGTGTTTGCAATGCTTTGCCGGCCATGTGAAAAGATGAATTGTCAACCCAGAGGCTCGAGATGGATATGTGTCCAAACAGGAAAGCCCCATAGTGGTCGTCGCTTTTTGGTTTTCCCTTAAGATAACCCAAGGGTAGCCGTAGAAAGCACACTCCGACGACAGGATGAGATGCAACAAAGCCTTGACCTGGCTTTGTTGAGATGGGACGATGACTATTTGTCCACACGTGCTTGGATTGTTGCAATGATATGGAGGCCCTGTCAAACCTTTCAAAGCCAAGATGGCCAAAAGAGACGAAATCAAAGCTATTTTTCGAAATGGGGACCCTCCCCAAACATGTGGTTTCCCTTCGGTTTCCCCTTCAGACAACCTCCCAACATGGTACCTCCAAAAGAAACACACGCACACACACACACACACACACATGACACACATACCCATATGATTTGCATGAAGGCATCCTCGGGCCGACGCATTTGCCATGGTCACGTGGCTGGTGGTCGGCGGCTTGGACAATGGCCTCCTGGTGCGAGAGGAGGCTGCGGGTCCAGGGGGCCTTTGCCTGGCTTCAATGGAACCCATTAAGAACCCCATGGCTGGTACAGTCGGGTGTTCCGTTGAGGGAATCCTTCGCAAGGGGCAAACACCCCACCCCCTAAGAACCTACCAGGGCTGACTCATCCAGGAAAGACAATCGAACAGTACGGGTTGGATCAAGACACCAATACAGTTGACCGCTTTGAACTTGACTCATCCATCCCTCAACATTCAACCTCGAGTCTCCAAATTCACAAGTTTCAATATGGTACTTAGGGGTCCTTACCAAACAGCTTACTCAGGGCCCAATTACCAAGGGATGCAGGAACGTCAACAAGTACTGCCTCTTCTAGAGGATGTATGTCGATTTAGCTGGCTGTAAGGATCTCTAGTGTCAACCGGCGAATAGGAAGTCTCCCTCTGAATAAACTGGTTCTTCCCACACTGATGAATGACATATATCTATTTGAAGACGCACCCAAATCGTTCTGCATTTTACTGGGGGGGGGGCCAAGTGGACATTCAACATCTTTTGGCGGACAAAACTCCCCTCGAAATGATACCCACGGCTTTTTGGACTCTTCCGTCCTGCGCCGTCGTTGAGTACTTCAAGAGCGGCTTGAGTTTGACAAGATGTGGTTTGACCCCGGCCCAACTTCTTGCACCGATTTGGTGTTTTTTTGCTGTGGTAAACCTCATTGTGCACGACCATTGCAGCGACTTTGCGGTTGCTTCCCCTTTGGTTTTGTGGTTGCCGCTAGAGTCGGAGGGTCGGTAGAGGCAGACCTGAAGAGCCGGGAGCTGGGGCGACTGGCGCATGGGGCGCTTCTGCTGGAGGAGGCAACGGGCGGAGAGGGCGGGACTTGGCTCCGGATGAGTCAAAACCTGGGGGCTCAAGTGAGCCACACTCAAAATTTGGGTAGATGAAGGTTTGTAAAGGATACCCCCCAACAAATCGCTGCGGATATCCGCCTGCTCCATTTTTGACATGGTTCTGGGGTAGACCACTTTAATGCCGGTTTTTGATTGTGACTCAAATGGCTGTGTCCCTTTTGGGGCCCAAAAAATGGCGTCATATTGTGACATGAGCCACAATCAAAACCTGAGATGAAGATCAGGGATAGTCCCTTGCCATAAATTGGTTCGGATATCATGGGTTTGGGTAGGCCGTATGTTTTTTCCTGGGTTCCAAAGCGTCCTTCCCAAAAAGCAGATGCAAGTTGTTCAATTAGTACCAAGATTAAATGCAGAGGTTTGAAGAAGACAATGTTTTGATATCGCCTGAAAGAAAGGTAAGGCATGGCACCTTGGACATTGGCACATCAGCACGAAATCCAAGAACAACGCGTTCCAGCACGTTCCATGGTTTTGAGTGCATCAACCAACCGGTGGACTGGGGTTTTGCTGACCGAAGCAATCATGGCCAACCAAAAATAGGCAAACAAGTCACACAGCGAGCCTCAGAATGACTTGGGGAGTGCTTTGGTGGCTGAGCTTGTGCAAACGGGTTTGGTCAAATGAACGGAGGACGGAGAACCCTGTGTTCGCCGATCCATTTTGCCGCCTTGCGAGGGCGCAGTCAAGAGCAACCACCCAGATGCAATTTCAGAGGCATGGTTATTACTCATTACTGCCTACTCCTCGAATCATTTGCTTTGAAAGTACCCCAGTCCACTCGGACAGGAGCTAGTCGCTGAGCGGCTGCGGTTTCAGAAGCTGCGGGGGCACGGCCCCAAACGCGGCTACTGCTCGGTGCGGATCAAGGGCAAGGTGCTTTCGGGGAACCGAAGAGAGCTGGGTAGGAGGGTGGTTAAACCGGGAGTTTTCGGGGAACCACCTGCGGGTTGATCGGGATGACAATTGGGGGCAACCACCAAAAAGATGAAATGCCCCACAGAATGGGAGAAGTTGCCCTTGGTCATTTGGCGGCCGGGAATATTGATCAACCCTCCTAAAATTCTAATGGTTCCCACTTGGGGAAGGTTGTCCCCTCCCCTAGCAAAGGCAGAGCCGGCGGATTGTTTCTTTTTGGGGGGAGGGAGAGGTGGGCGGGGCTGGGGACTCAGTGATGCAGTCAGTCACGTAATGTAGAATCAGATTGCTGTAATCAGTGAGTGTTGCTGGTGTTGTCCACGACCACGAGAGATATAAGAGGCTAAGTTTTGTGACCGAGCTTCTCAAGGTGCAGCTACAATCCATCCTGATATTTTGAAGCTTGACGCATTTGCTTACAATACTTTATCAGCTGCCCTGTGGCCATGTCGGAGCCACTTGACTAATTGCAGCCCCATTTGAATTAGGCAATTCACTACATTGAAGCAGCTACTTGTACTGGGTATGCTCAAAAGGTAAGTTGGAGCATTCTCGAGCGACGAATTCAACTACCGGGGCCCAGCCTTCTGGGGAAGTACTTCAAACCATTGTAAGTCCCCAAAACCATCGGCCTCCCTTTCCCAGCCCACCATAATTATGGAGGACTCACTACAAGTCCGATGTCCTTGGAGACAATTTGACTGTGGCCTCAGCGCCTCAGAGGGAGGGGGCTCTCCGGGTTTCAAGGGCCCGTAGGAGCTGCTCTCCCGTTGCGCGCGGGTCCCGGCGCCGGAGACGCCACTGCCGTCGGCGGCCATGGAGCCTTTGGCGGTGTTGCACGGCATGGCACGCTGGCCCCTCGGTTCGGTTTAGTTCGAACCTCAAGAAGGATGCCTGGGGATGTATACTGGGATTTATGGTTATCACCATGCTTGAAATCGGTATGGGCATGGATATAATCGTCGGATGCATTCCGCAGGATGCAGCCCATTTTCAGGCACAGGCCCCCCCTTTGAAGCCCTTTGCACCGGTTCGGCCCCAAAGAAAGCCATTGTCTTTTTTTCCAAACCCCTTGGCCAGCACAGGTGGGCCAGGCCCCGCCTCGCACACGAAGTAGCCGGCTCTTTCCACATCCTTGCACCCTGGCGCTCCGGTGCCCGTTGATCCCCTTTTTGTCTGAGGAAAGTGCCCTCTTGAAGTCAACGAGCAAAAAGGTAGGGGGTGTGCCGTTTTAGAGTGGATCCTTCACGTCAAGGGGAGCGCCCCTCTAATATGAAAAGTTCTGAGGCTTCGCAGGATGCAGCCGCTGTGATGTTAGGCTTGTTTCTCATTAGACACGTGACACGGTACCGCTTTTCACGGGGGTACGGTCACAAGGAAGCTATGACATGGAAGTCGAAGCTTTTGTTGTTGGTGTTCTCGTGTTTGGAGACTACCGGACAACCCCATGTCAACGTGTTGGAGACAAGGCATCCACACCTGTTCATGTCACTTTACGTAAGGAAACCAAATTCGCATGGTCCAATCGAACCCCCCCTATCGAGCAGAGGTAGGGAACTTGAGGCTTCGGAAGCTACTGCTCTGAAGAGGTCGATCCACAAGCCCGCTGGGGCTGTCAGGACTTAGGGACCCGGAACCCGAAAGACCACGAGACCCCATCAAGTTTCAAACTGCCTGCAGAATGCCAAGATAAACCCGACGAGGGCGGGGGTTGAAGGTGGTCCCTGGAAAGAACAACTTCCACGGAAGGTCCACTAGAACTTGTGGTCAAACTCAGGGAATCCTGTTTGTCGCGTTGCATTACGCGGGGAATGAAAGAGAAGTTCAGGAAATACTGAGGCAACCAGATGTACCACTGGAAGGATCCCAATTGAAGAGGTTTATCAGTCAGCATGTGCGTTTCTTGACATTTGAGCAAAGATCTGGCTTGGTTCAACGAATTACATCAGCAAGTCAAACAGGTGTCAATATTATACCAACTCTTTCCATTTGCACGCGTCATATCTCTCTGTTCCTCAGCAATTGTGCTTCCCCGTGTTGGATGAGGATGAACAACAATGCTAACATTGGATTCATAAATACCATTGATTTCTGAGGCGCATTTTCAGGATCCAATACTAAACAATTCTAAGCTTTGATGCGGTCCTCCATTTTCCCACATGATCTTCAAATCCCGTCTCCTCAGAGCAGCCACCCACAGCTACCTTCTCTGACAGGCCACCTTCTGCCCCCAAAACCCTTTAAATCTGAGGTTTAACCTTGTGGGGGGAGGGGGGAGCTTATTAATCCGATGTCACCGTTGTATGCTGTGAGTGCTGCCACACTTGTACTGTTGGCCAGAGACAGACGCAGTAGAGTGCTGTAGATCGTCTACTCTGAACCTTGGAGTCGGGTGTAAGTATGTTACACAAAACAACGAACTGAGGCATCCGCATTGTTCAACAACTTCCGATGTTGCCACAGCGGCAGCAAAATGACATGAGAAGGCAATATCATGTTGTTTGCCACTCGGCAGCTGTTGCAGCAAGATGCCCTGTTTTCTCATGATGTCGCCATGACGTGACCCTGGCGTGAAAGAGTAGATGTCAGAATTGCCCATGTTTTCCTCTATCCCTTTTCTTGCGGATGCGGATTGCGCCCATTCTCTCGCGCACAAACACACACACAGAAACGCATACATATATATATATATATATTCCATATTGTTTCTGTCTATCTAGTTGTGCGGGGGGCTAACCGGGGGGGGGTACAATGAAATAAAGAAAAACTGGTTCTGTCCTGGACAGAGATGGAGCTGCCTAATGTTTCTGCTTGGCCCAGGTTGTTATCGTTTTCTTCGCCTGTTAGACAGGGATAGGATTGTGGCATCCTTCTCCTGGGAAACAATTGCATTTCAGTTGTGGACTGAGAAACTGCATGTTATATTTGCAAAAGAGGTGTTGTTGTTCGTTGTTAGTTGGGAGGCTAGCAACAAATATGTCTCTCTCTATATATATATATATCTTTGCATATGCATACATGTAAGCAAAAAAGGAAAAAAAGGTATCCAGCTCAACCTCCGAGGTTCCCCTTCCGCCGCGTGGCCAACTTCCGGGACGTGGCCGACAGCCACCCGGGCGGTGGCCGCATCCGCTGCGCCGGGGGCGTCCTGCGGCAGCGCCGGCTCTTCCGCGCAGGGCACCTGGCGGCCGCCACGGCGCAGGACGGGGGGGCGGAGACCTGGGGCGAGGGGAGGGGGGGGGATGTGGGGGGGGGGCCTGAGGGGGGGGGACCCGAAAAGGGCTGGTTTGTAGTCTGGGTCGCACGAATCCCGGGTAGAATCTCAGAATCCATAAACCCATGTTCCTTGAGTTGAATTAGTACTGGTTCAGTATTAGTATTTGACCTTGGGGTGGTGAGTGCCATCCCTAAAAGCACCAACCTTGAAGAAGGTTCATTATAGTGGCGGGGGACCAGCGGTTAGAGGTTCAGGGAAAGTGGGGGGATGGTGGAAATGGCGACAAGGGTTGTCAGACGAGGGCTTGTCATTTTCATGTGTGAAGTGTTTCTTTTGTTGGGCTGCTGTTTGGTTGCTGCGTATGGCGAATGCGGGCGCAAAACGAGGAATGGCATTCCAATTAGCCAAGAATTGATTGTCGGTTTGTCGGTCGCGCTCATGTGTTTGTTGTGTCAACATTTATCTGAAAACGATCGCGGCAAGTGCTGGTCGCCGGGCGCTTGAGCAAAGGTGTTGCCCGACGTTACTTAATAGTTGATGCTGGTGTATGCTCCATACTGTTCTAGCATGTTCTAGCGTTGGAGTTGCTGGCTCTTGGGCGAGTGTTTGTGAGCACCACATGTTTCTCGTTCTCGGCACTTGTTATGGTGCTCCAAGCCGAACTCAGCCATCACCAAACACGACACCACCGCCATCAACCAACCACCTGCTCACCCCAAGTTTCCTTCTAACCCACAGGCATGGCGCCTTGACGAGGGGCTGAAAGTAAAATACAAAGCATCTAGTTTTTTTCATGCTGGTAGCAGGCAGAGTGGATGACCATTTCTTCAACTGGCTGCCCTGACCTGTCTTGCTGGCCACCTCTAAGCTGGCTGGCATCCTGATCCATTTGAGTTTCACAGGGGCAAGTAGTTGCTTAATCCCTCCATTTTCTCAACCTGCAAGACCCTTTTTCAGACCCACAATCCACCCAGCTTCCACCCACTACTAGAGATCCCAAGGATTTGGAGCTGCTCAAGTCGCTGAACGTCCGCAGCTACGTGGATCTCCGCGATGGTCTCGACTTCGAGGGCGCGGATGCGCCGGTCTACGCGCCCTGTTCACGGTGTAGATATGGAGATCTACACACATCGATAAATACTGAGCGCAGCGGACTAATTTTGTCTATGCATATATATATATATAGCTGTGTGATGCTGTGTGTGTGTGTTGGCGTGGGAAATGGGCAGGCGCCTGATATGTAGGTATGATTTTGCAACCTGCATGACATATTTGTTATTGTCATTCTTAAAAGTGTGTTTGCATTTTGTAGTATGAAGTGGGCAGCCTTGGGCACAGGTCCTAAAGTTGAAGGCTTGCTTGAAAACGAGGAACATGATACACGATTCCTTTTGTTGATATATACCTGGGGGAATGATGTATGGAGGGTGCAACAGGCGGATTTGTTTTTTTGTTTTTTACTTTAATTTGTATGTTTGTTTCGCCTCTTGCAGTCCGGAGCGGAACTATGCAATGCCCCCATTTGCGAAGGCTTTCGCGGCTCAAAGACGCATTGGAGCAGTTTTGTTCAGCCGTGCATCCCGGGCTTTGCTCGTCCCCTTTTGGCAAGACCTGGAATGCCACAGTCTGTACTTTGTGCAGAGGTCGAATGTCGGAGGTTTGTCAGCTTGCCTGACACGAAGTGCAGCTCCTGGCGGGACTTACATCCCATTCCAGCCAAGTTGTTTGTTGAATGCATCAATTCGCCTGGTGTGCCTGCCCTTTAGGAAACCACTGTGGCGTCCTTTAGACCCATTGATCTCATTCCTATGTCTGAAACTGTTGCACCTTCCTCCAGCATGGCTGCTCTGAATCTGAGGATCACTTTCCTCCCCGTCCACGCGATACCACATCCAAGCTGCAGGAAGGACAGCGAAGGAGGATTTGGTGCCCATTCAGAACCTCGCCAAAAGGAGACCACACGTCTTCCTTGTTTGTAGAGACAACGCGCTTGATCACAAGCGATGGTGGGTGCATGCGATTGCAATCATGAACATAATGCTAGTGGCGGCACCAAGTGCGGTGGCCACCTGAGTGTTGTGTTGCTTAACTTTGGGTTCGAGCGCATTTGGCTACCATGCAAAGCTATGGATGAGAGCTGGTTGTGTTTGTGTGTACTTGGTTTTGCGGTTCTCGCTGTTGTGACTTCTGCTGGGGCAGTGAGTTTGCGTTTTGTTTGTGTCTGTGTTTCTGTGTGCCTTTGCGTCTCTTTGTGTCTCTGTCTCTTTGTGTCTCGGTGTCTTTGTGTCTCTGTGTGTTTGTGTCTTTGTGTCGCTGTGTGTCTGTGTCCTTGTGTCTCTGTGTGTCTGTGTGCCTGTGTGTCTGTGTGTGGGTGCGTGTTTGTGTGCATGTGTTTGTGTGTGTGTGTGTGTTTTGTGTTTTGTGTGTGTGTGTGTGTGTTTGCGTGTTTGTGTGTTTGCGTGCGCGTGTGCATGTGTGTTTGTGTGTGTGTCTGTGTGTGTGTGTGTGTCTGTCTGTGTGTGTGTGTGTGTGTGTGTGTGTGTGTGTGTGTGTGTGTGTGTGTGTGTGTGTGTGTGTGTGTGTGTGTGTGTGTGTGTGTGTGTGTGTGTGTGTGTGTGTGTGTGTGTGTGTGTGTGTGTGTGTGTGTGTGTGTGTGTGTGTGTGTGTGTGTGTGTCTGTGCGTGTGTCTGTGCGTGTGTTTGTGTGTGCGTGTGTGTCTGTGTGTGGGTGTGTGTTTGTGTGTGTGTGTTTGTGTGTTTGTGTGTTTGCGTGTTTGCGTGTTTGTATGTTTGCGTGTTTGTGTGTTTGTGTGTTTGTGTGTTTTTGTGCTTGTGTGCTTGTGTGTTTGTGTGCTTGTGTGTTCGTGTGTTTGTGTGTTTGTGTGTTTGTGTGTTTGTGTGTTTGTGTGTTTGTGTGTTTGTGTGTTTGTGTGTTTGTGTGTTTGTGTGTTTGTGTGTTTGTGTGTTTGTGTGTTTGTGTGTTTGTGTGTGTGTGCGTCTGTGTGTTTGTGTGTGTGCGTCTGTGTGTGTGTGTGTCTGTGTGTCTGTGTGTGTGTGTCTGTGTGTGTGTGGGTGTGTGTGTGTGTGTGTCTGTGTGTGTGTGTGTGTCTGTGTGTGTGTGTGTCTGTGTCTGTGTGTGTGTCTGTGTGTGTGTGTCTGTGTGTGTGTCTGTTTGTGTGTGTCTGTGTGTGTGTGTGTCTGTGTGTGCGCTAGAGGCCTTTCAGCCTTGCTGCTTTGGGTGACTGAGATTGTGTTTTCCATGTCAATGTGGAGGGGGAAGGCAAAGATATGTTTTTGTACTCCAACAAAGGCAAATGCTGTCAAACATTTGGTGGTGTTTTTGCATCGCCAGGTTTTCAGTCATGGTATTATTGTTTGTTTTCCCCTTAGGGCAGATTTCCCTGAGGCAAAGACCTGAAATTGCGGAGTTGGACGGCGGCGGAGAAATCGGGACTGGTGCCCGAGTGGGATAGAAGCGCCTGGGTCTCCTGGTGGTATCAGCGCGTCACGCGAATGACCATGGAGAGAAAGGCCCGGAGCCCATCAGTCGGTTATGCGTCCATGAATCTCTGGATGGTGACGTGTCGGGACCGCCCAAGAAAACCAGATGCGTTTGCCTCGGTGCTCAAATGAACATGTTGTTTAGTGACTGATGTGTTGCGTGTTTGAGCCGCATGTGCCGGTTTTGACGCATGATTTACTCCGCGGGCAAAGTCTTTTGCACGGGAACATGTGTGCGGGCTGGGAAACAATGGGCCTCTGGTTGTAGCCCTTGCCCGCGCCTTTCGACATCTGCGGTACAGATCAACAGGCGTCCGTGTTTTAAAGGTGCAGTATTCCCTATATATAGAGCATGCGACACTTAAATGCCAGACTCCTTCCGATTGTCGCAACCTCCCAGGTGGATCTGAACATTCCCGCCACGCTGTGCGCGCTGAACCGCGCCATTTTGTTCATCAACTCAGACGAGGCGCTCGAGGGTGAAGCAGTTGCTTTGAGAGATGGCTGCCGTGCTGACCACCAAGAGTCAAGATTCACAATCCTGTGTGACAAGAACGTGATGTTAAAGACTCTTTCAGCTCTTGTCAAACATATATGTCTATGTGTGTGCAGAGGTTGATGGTGTGGCGCTGGAGCAGGTCCCCCACATGGCTGGGCTTTGGACCTTGTGGACATTCAATGACTCTTCCATGAACCAACAGAAGATTAAGGGGGAAGAGCAACCCACTTCCTGGCCCAAGCGAAAAATACTTAGGGAGGCTGGAAGAGATCTTCTTTGCTGACCTGCTCTGATTCGAGTATGGCACATACCTGGCTGTCATCCGCCTTCTTGCTGTCGCCCTCTCAGCTGGCCGAAACCTATTCCTATAGGCCTATAGGCCTCATTTAATCGAGTGGAAAAGGATGCGAATTTACCCGGCGAAATGAGCGACGGGCAAAACCCTGTGGGGTCCTACCAAAATGTTTACGCAGGTTTATAATTATATTTGCCTTACAATAACAATAGCCAGGATCACCTTTGTTTGGTGCTCTAAATGGTCCCCCTTAACCTCAAACAAGCACTTTCAAGTTGGTGTCCGTTTTCGCCAAGGCAAGCTGGTTTTTCAGACCAATCAATCTTCAACCCTCATGCTGGCTGGTGCTGGTTTCCCTTGTCATGGTGTCCCGCTTCGGATTCTGGACAAGGGCCAGAGCCCACTTCACACAACCCAGGTCCGTAGTGGAAAACGCTCGAACAAAAACCCTTCTAGGTATTTTTCTAGCTCAACGAGACCAGGGGTCCCTCTAAAGGAACATTGTTTTCAAGCATGCACGACCCGAGAAAACCAATAGTGGCCAATGGATGCGTCTTTGTGTTTTGGGGTAGCCTGTTCAGCTGGTTTTAAAAGGGAACCAAAAGGACAACCCCCGTTTTGGGGGCTCCAAACCTCCCGTCTGACGCTGACTCGGCGGTACCTTGCTCGGTGCCAGGTACTGAAGGCCATGCGTGCTTTGTCGGAGGAGCAGCGCCGCGGACGGATTCGGCTCGGCACGTTCTCATGGCTCTGCCGTGTTTGGTCTCTTTTGCAGGTGGCTGAAAGGGAAAAGACCCATTTTTCGGTGTGTGTTGGCATGATCCCCCATTTAAAGCCATTCAAAGCTAAGCTAATCCTGGCGAGCTTCAATCGGGTTTCACCCATGATGAAGGTCCTGTACTTGGGGGTTCCCTTGTTTCAGTGGGTTTCTTCTTGGGTCAGTTTGGTTGAGCATAAACGATGCAATGTTCACCTTGCTTCTAGTCATTTGCCGCTGGAATCCATGTATTTGCTAGAAGGACACCGGCACCTACACTTGGATATTCATTTGCTGTTTGCAATTGGTGCACATGACCCGCATACAGTTTTGCTGTTCATCTCCCAGAGCCGGATCATGAGATATCGCTTTTTGCAGATGAACCCCCAAAGTGTGGTGGTCCTCCCAGCAAAGTGCGGTGAGTTCCTTGCGGGTTTTGGGCGCCTTGAGGAATTACCCGGTGCTCTTTGGCTGCGTGGCGGGCAAAGACCGCACCGGCTTGCTCGCCTGCCTTGTGCTCAGCGTCCTTGAGGTGGACAAGGCGAATTGGGGCGTTGGTTTAGAGGGAAAGGGAAAAGCCACCTCGGTTCTTTGGCCGGGGGTGGGGGAGGTGGGGTGGTACCCCCCATGTTGACGCATGTCCATATATGGTCCCGTGTTCCGTGTTGCTACCCCACCCCCCCCCCCATATGGTATGGGTCCCCCAGGACCCCCCCCCCCCGGCCCGAGACCCCGAGCCCCCGGATCCTGTCACCTACGGTCCCACCCCCACCCCGACCCCCTGAACTCGCACCCCGACACCCCGGCAACCCCACCCCCAGGACAAGCCAACTCGCAACCAACCATAAACCAACCCTAAACTAAGCCTAAACGAACCCTAAATACCCGTTAAACCAAACCCTAAACCGTAGACCTCTAAACCTAAACCAACTCTAAATCAACATAAACCAACCGTAAACTAACCCTAAACCAACCCTAAACCAAGCACTAAACCGTAAACCTAAACAAACCCTAAACCAACCCTAAACCAACCCTAAATCAACATAAACCAACCCTAAGCCAACCCTAAACCAACCTAAACTAACCAGAAATACACCCTAAATATACCCTAAACCAATTCTAAACCAACCCTAAACCACCACAACCCAACCACAGGACCACAACCACAGGGGGGGGGGACTTGTCTGACCCATGACCATTGGTGGGGGGGGGGGGGGGCTGGCAACGCTGTACCATATATATTGTCTGTCCGCTTATTTTTGTTCTTGGCCTGTTTGGCCACCTAGACACGGTCTTGTCCTTTGGCGGGGTGATGCCTCAGGGGGAAATACACGGGGACGGATCGCTGTTGAACCTGTTTTAGCACGCAACCGTTATTGTTTACACATCCTCGTTTGGGTGGTTCAACCTGGAGGAAACAACCACGTTTGGGAGATTTTCACTTGAAAGGACAGATGAAATCTACTCGTGCCATCCATTGGATGTCCCGGCCTGACAGGACATCATCATGGCCGACTACCTAAAGACAAACTTGGCAGCGGAGCACATCAATGCTTGCGCGCAGGTGCTTGGCTGTGCAAATGGATTGGAAATGACAAAGTCGCATTCCAAAGAAGCTATGGAAGTCATCATAGAGATAGCTTGGCCATATTAGCATGTATATACAACTCATGTCTCATATACACACATCAGTTGAACATTCTGATGAATCCATCTTTCGCGTGTTTCTTTGGCGCGGGCCCCATCTCGCACTTGCCAGGTGGGCACAGCGCTGTGGTGGCGGCAGCTGGAACAAGAAGATCCCAAGCGGTGGCAGATGATGCAGAGGAATGGCCAGGTGCGCGCGCTTTGCGACTGGCGCGTGGAACAGACGACTATGTTGTCTCAAAATAGGTGAAACCTCAAGCTCAATGTATACTTTCAAGTTGGGCAACCTCAAAGTCGCACGCTATACTGGATTAGTGTTGGAGTTTAGTGGAGTTTATACGTATGAGTCATAGGCATGAGTCGAAGCTATATATTTGTTTGAGTGGTTCTCCCATTGTATCGGGTTTTGTCCTTGTGTTCATATTGTTTGAAGAGCTGGCGCCCTGAGTCGAATTGAACGTGGGGTTGTCTTGGATTGCTTTCCCTTGCGCGGATGTGCAAACACCACTCGGAACTCGGTGGCTTCCACACGATTAGCTCGTCTTTTGGCCCGTTGATGCCCTAATTGCAAGAAATGGCAGTTGCCTTCCCTTTTGTGAAACCGGCAGTCACCGCCGCAGTGATAGCTGCGGCGTCACAGACTCAAACAGTTTGCAAGGTTCAGCGGCTCAAGTACGACGCCTCATGGCCGGGACTAACAGGCGATGGGTTGAAGTGATTGCAGGGTGGGCAGGCCACAAGAGAGGCGCGACTGCGCATCGGCTGGAATCTTTGTGCCTCAATTCATGCCAACATACTTTCTACTTGCTTCCGCCTGATGGTCGCGAAGTAGTTGTTGCCAGCAGCGCGCTTTTGCGCGCCCCATCAACACTGGCCCTGGCAGTATTCGCATCCGGTACTTTGGTGGGGCTATTGCGTTTGGTGGCTTCAGCGAGAGTTTGAAGTCGAATTCTCGTTTCGAGCTGCACTCAGGTAGGACAATCCGCGGGTTTGAGGAGCTGCCGTGGGTTTCTGGGAAGGCTTGCATGACATGGGCGTTGCCCCCCCCCCCGAGCTTGCTGTGATTCAACCCTGAGGTTTTGAGTCGCTTCAGATGGCACGCCTTACCCCCGATTTCATTGAGGTTGCCTTCAGCCCAAAGGTGCGTTTGACTGGAGTTGGTTCACGTTTGAGTTCCAATGCCGCTGGCACCCGCATGCCAAATCAGGGGGATATCCCGAATTTGCTGAGCCAAAGAAACAGACAGCGACTGACCTTGGGCACTTGTCTATGTCAGTTTGTTGTGTTTTTGTTTTAGGTGCTGTCATTTTACTCATATTGTCTCTGGCTTTGGCTACGTGTGTTTGTGTTAGGTGGCTTCATTTCCTCGTTTGTGTGCTTCTGGTTCTGCAACCTTTTCTTCCCCCACACACCCGGTCCAAGCCTCTCGCCTCTCGTTGCAGCGCAGGCTCCGAGGACGAGTTCGCGCAGGTCTTCCCCGCGGTGTTCCGTGACACCATGGCCTACACCTTGCAGATGCTCGAGGAGGACACATGGGCCTCAATCGCACTCTGAAGGGGATGTTGGGTCTGTCTTTGTTTGAAGGTACCCCTTTTTTGTGGTTTGACAGGGAGGAACCCAAAACAGGCTCACCCAGTTGAACCCCAAACATGAAATGGGCACCCTCAAAACAAAGATACGTCCACTTAGAATAGGGTGTGAGGGGCACTCGCCACATTTGGCCGCGGGGATTATTTGACCCCTTATTGCACGACCCGTGCCAAGGTTTCCAGGCAAATGAGTAGACCAGTACCTGCGGGAGTTGCTTGCTCCCTTTCGGATTCAGATTGTTTGGGAGCCACCTTGCTGGGTTCCATGTTCATGTGCAATACAAAGTTCACCTCTTTTAGCTACCCAAGTGGACCCTTGGGGCGACTCAAAGAAAATTCAACATGGGCCAAACAGCCGCAGCAGCAGAGAAAATGTTGTGTTTTTGTAAGAAAGATGTTGGTAAATTGTGGGCCTTTCTCGCTTGTCCTTTCCTCTCTCCTGATTGCCATTGTCTCTCTTGCTCTCTTGCTCTCTTGTTCTCTCTCTCTCTCTCTCTCTCTTCCTCTCACTCACGCAAACAATGTCTCACTGCCCGGCGAAATAGGGCGGACTAAGTTGCGCTACATGCTGAAAGTAGCTTAGCCCCAGCCTCACATTTCTCACATGCCGTGCCCGCAATCCCGGCTCTCAGAAAGCACTCGGCTGAATAACGCTGTTTATGTCAAGAGCTCATGTTACATGCTTCCTAACGGCAAAAAACACTGGGACGCGTAGTTTGGGGCATGTCCAGTCGCAGATGTTTCAGGAGGGGGGCGCCCTGGCGTACCTCAGCTCCATTGGCTTCGGGCCCGAGGACCTGCAGAAGCTGCGGCGATGCCTGGTGGAGCCGGCATAGGCGCGACCGGCGAGGTTTGGGTCACAGCTGACGTTTCCTGACCCGCAGAACCCTTCCTTTTTGGTCTAGATGTGGTTTCCCCGAAGCTTTTGGGCACCTGCCAAAAAAAAAGGTATGTGGCAGGAAAGAAGGGGTTTATCTCCCCACATTGGTAGTTTCCTTTGGGTTCCCTTCTCAAGGATTTGGGGAATGACCCGCTTGGGATGCCCTTAAAGGAAACTACAAGGATGGTTCAGGTTGGGGTCATACACTCATTCCCCGCCAGCAAATGTGGGCGAGGGTTCATTTCGGGGTTTGTATGGTTTATAGTCCATTTGGGAGGGGGTGAATGTTACAGCCCGAAAATGACTGGTGGTTGCACAAACCCAGTGGTTGAAGTTCATCAAGGGGTGCCCAGTTAAGATTCAGATCCATATGGCCCGCGTTTTCGACGGTTCCGCCCTATGCTGCCTTGAAGATAGCCGGGAAACCAAGCTGCCGTCCTTTGGGTCACAGGCCTGATGTTTTGCGTGGTCTCATTGGTTCTCTTGACTACCAATCAAAATCTGGGTTCCTGCAATGTTTGGGTACGCTTGAAAGGATTCCCTTGGTTTGAAAAGCTGAGACCGGAGTCCACGACACCAAGGGAACCGCGCAATGGTTGCAGAGTCGAGCTTTGGTTCTGGTCTCCCTTTTCCGGCAAGGCTCTTTTAGCCAGGTTTGGGCTTCTTGTTGAGTAGCTAGATGCGAAACTTGGCATATACATCCGGAAAAGCCTGCTCAATGGCTCGGCAACGGTGGATGGCTAAGGAGCCACAATGGCTAAGGAGCTACGCCAGAGCAAACGTGTGAAGCACTCGCACAGATGAGCTGCAAACACTTGGAAGTTGAGTTAGAAGTGAGCAATGGGCATGTGGACCCCCCCAAAATGGTAGCTATCCTCTTAAGTTACCTACAATTCACACACACACAAACACATACGCACAGCAATGATTTTTGAATTGAAGAGTCGCAGTTAGCTGGATGTTGTTGACAAGCGCTAGAGACACACTAGCAAACTAGTGCACAAGTGGCTTAGTGACATGCGCCAGTGCAGTGTGCCAGTATGGTGTGCGAGCACGCGAGTAGACTGTGCGAGTACGCGAGTAGACTGTGCAAGTGAACTTTGCGAGCGTGCGAGTGGACGGCCAGTGAGCGGACGAGTGAACGCAACGAGTAACTCGAACACTTGCACGATCCACTCTCACACTGTCCACTCGTAGGGAAACACACACACATTATATATATATATATATATTTGTTGGAGACCCTATTGTTGGCATGCGGTTGCAAGTCCTTTCATCCGCTCGCTTGCACGCTCTCACGCCCTACTCGCACACTGGACTCACGAACTCGCACGTCGGTGCTCGCGCAGGTTTTGTGTCCGACTAGCTTATTTTTTGTCGAATCCGGCTAGACAGTCTAAGGGTCAAAGCAGCGACCCGAGTTGGCCAGTGCAATCGCGGATGTGTCGCTGGAGTGCTTTTGGATGCTTTTGGCTGGTGGCCCTAAGCAACTCAGGGGGCCAAGTGCGATGCTAAGATTGGAAAAGGTAATAGTGTGGTAACAAAGGGATGGGATAGAGAGGAAGAAAAAAATCGAAAGCCATGTGACCGCTTGCGTCAAGCACTACAAAGCACGTTTTGTTTGTGTCTGTATGAATGGTTCTACAAGTCGCCAGGCGGTTCTCTTTCAGCCATTCAAATTCTGTACTTAGACTTGGCGGATAGTGGCAAGCCCTACGATGTGTCGATTCCACTCAAGCCCTGCAGTTCGCCATTGGACAACTTCAGTGGCTTCAGTTCAGAGGTCCTCTCCTCTTTGCACTGAGATGAAGGCAACTCTGCGGCTTTCTGCCAATGGCAAGGGGCCAGTTCTTTGGCGAGGAAGGCCATGCGATCAATTGGTGAGCAACGAGGAAGAGTCTAGATGCATTGCTCACCGAGCCCATTCTGTGAGGCATAGCTAGTTGTTCATTTCAGTCTTTCAGAAGTGACTTGATCATAGCTGGGCATGTTTGTGCAACGATGTCTCCAGAGCAAGAGCAGGTGGCTGATTCCAAGACACAAGGCAATTGTGGCATCCCGCGTGTCGAGACATTGACACAAAGCGGCCAGATTGCTTGTTGGGCTCAAGGATCGCTGATCCACAGCGCCCGCAATGCTCACGACTCTGTAGTCTGAGCGAGTGAAAGGCATCTCACTTGCATTGATAGATTGAATGGACTGCAGCCGCCAAGTAGAATCTAGGGAATGATATGCACATGGGGCAATGTTCCGTCGCTGGCCATGCTGGCCTGAAGTCAGCTTGCGTGTCATTGTTTCCGCTGGTGCAGTGAGTGCTGGGCAAAAAAAGGGGCGTGGTGAACTTCATTTGAGCTTAGCTCTTCCATGTGTTGTCAGTGGAACCACCTTGGGTTTCTCCAGCCTCTGATATCAACAGGCAGAGCCACTCAGATGGGGCTTGCAGCATCAAACGCGGAGGTCGCTGGACAAGGGGCCGTTTTAAGAGGATGGTCCACCAACGCCCCCCTGTCCACTTCCATAGTTGGAAAGAGGAAACACTTGGGTGAGACATGGCGCGATTTCTCCATTTGGGTCAGGTCATCCATGGTCATCCCCTTTACCAAGGGAATTCTGCCAGTTTCCACCCAGTTGCATCCTCTTCCCAACCGTTGAAGGGGGAGGATCTTCCAAGACCTGAGGGCAGTTCACCACTGGCATGGAAGGCATCCACCCGCTGCATCAGCACAGACATCGGCTTGCAGGACCTCGAGGCAGCTGTAGAGGTGTGTTGGGGAACCTTCCGCTGGAGGGTTTTGAAGGGAGGCAGAAGTGAAACCAACCATTTCCCGGAAGGGAGGGGGGGTCTTCTGAGACATATTCAGGTTGGCATGAAAGCCTGTTTGTTGTTGTTTGTTTCGTTTGGGTGTGCGGGGGCCTGGGTTGGAAAGAATACGGACCAAGACAGATGGCCATCAACACTGCATTTGTCAGGTGATCGTGGAGCAAGTCAACATTGCAGCAGGCCAAGCTGTGGGGAGCGGCGCAAGCGAGTAGCTGATTTGGTCAGCTCTTGGTTTGCCTCGGTGTGCTAGACCTTTTGCAGGCCAGCAATGTGCGGGGAATTGTGCGATTAACTCGAAGCATGCAACCATGCTGCTTTTTGATACTTGCAGTGTTCAGCGATATCATGCGAGATCCAAGTGGTCCGAGTCTTCAATGGTCAAGTTTCTGTCATACCTTTCAGGCACTGGCCCAGGAGTGCTTTGCGCAGTTTCCTCTCTGCTATATTTAGGCTGCGCCTGCCTTCCTTCCTTCCTTCCTTCCTTCCTTCCTTCCTTCCTTCCTTCCTTCCTTCCTTCCTTCCTTCCTTCCTTCCTTCCTTCCTTCCTTCCTTCCTTCCTTCCTTCCTTCCTGCTTCGTGGTGCTTGACATTGCTTGATTCCGTTGATCGGTTGGTCTGTTGGGGAGCAAAACCTGAAATTAGTTTACGGTACATGAATGACGTTGTGAGTCAGCATGGTAATGTTGTGTTTGTGTGTGTGTGTTTTGTTTGCTTGATTTATCTTTATTGTGTTGGCCCAGGTATGTGTTGTCAAACGAGTTTGTTTGTTGCAGTGTTGGTCGTGCGATGGTGTTTGTGTGCGTGTGTGGTTTGTCTTGTTTGGCTTTGTTTGCCTTCGTGAATCTGCCGGTTGTGCGTTCAGTGTTTGGTGTGTTTATTTCTTATTTTGCGTGCGTGCGTGCGTGGTGCGTCGGAATGGGTGCGTGTGCACATGGGTAGGAGCGTGGGTGTATGTGCGTGTGTGCTGCGCATGCTTGCGGGCGTATGTGCGTGCGGGCGTTGAAGTTGGGCTATTTTGATTTCCTGTGTTTGTCTGGGGCTGAAGCTTGGCGGAGCATGCTGCAGGTGCCGTGGATGCTCTTGCAGCGGGGCGCCAAGTCGGATCAGCGGACCCTCTTGGAAATATTTGTTCAGTTCTTGGCTCAGTTAGTTTAGCTTTGGCTCATTTGGTCAAGCCCTTGATCAACAGACTTGCCGAGATCTCTTGGGCGTAATTGAACCTCCATTGTCAAGCAGTGGGACCGAGAATGGTAGAACCTTCCTCAGTTGAAGAAGCGATTAATCCACCAGTAGGGCATCAATCCCGAAGTAACATGGACACTCTTCCAAAAGACTTGTTTTGGAGGAAGGGGTACCATTGGTCCAATGAAGGATAAGTTACCATCTCCCCAAGCCATTGGTTTGGGCTGGTCAGTCACTCAAAGCACAGCTGGCGCGACCAGCGTTTTGGAGGTTTCATGGTGAGGGCAAAGACGCAATACGCCAACACCGGCAAGTGCAAGCTTGTTCATGCGATGTTTGTTGTGCCGTTGTGTGCTCCCTGAACATCGCCCAACATATTAAAAAGATTCGTTCAAATTCAATAGTTTCCGGTTTAATCTTCATCTACAGGAGTGTCACGCTGTGGTCTTAGACTCGTTGAATTTGTCCACGCAATCTCGGTTTATCCACTTAACAATGCTGCAGAGAGGAGGCGAGGCGGTTGCAGGCCAATGCACCGGCAGCTTGCCGACAGCCAAAGACAAGTTTAGATATTCCTTCTTCTCATTGACAGGTAGCAGTAGACCACTCTTATTTAGTTAAAGAGGTATGTCAGCATGTTGGGGCCCGTATCAGGATAGTTCAGAATTGCGTCCAGCTGCGACCGCCTGCTTGGAGGGTGCTGATGATTCGTCCGATGGCATTTTGTAGCTTCTCGACATTGCCCATGAATTATTTGGTACAGTTCTTTTGAGGGAGCAGGGTTCGGCGAAGAGAGCCCTGTGACTTTGATCACGTTCGGGCCAGGGGCTCCTAGTCTTGCGCTTGGCATAAGTCAAGCTCTTTCACATCCCACAAAGACCATTATGAGGAGTCGCTACCTTCGCACCATTGCCTTGAGGCAGATTCGGTTGGCGGCTTTGACGCCGAGGCGGAAAGTGAATGTATGGAATTTGGATTGTGGAGGTTGGCGCCTGCTCTCTTTTATACTACGAGATGCTCATGATTTGTCCTATGAATGGAGGGGGCGTTGGAGGGTTCCCAGTATTTTTTCACGGTGGTGTCACCCGCAGTTCCTTTGCAGTTGCTTCTGTGCTGTCAATTGGACAGCAGGCATGCGATGCCAGCATGGAGAAGCTGCGCAAGGCCAGTGGGGGGTTGGGGTTTGGTGGGTGCGGTCTGAAACATTTGGGCAAGGCTTAAGGCCACCCCTTGGACCACTGAAAGGCTCAGTTAACCCGGTTTCTGAACTGGTTCTCGGAAAACGCTGGGTTTGAGGCTGGCCGACCTTTCAAGGCTGCGCAAAGCTAATTTCACGAGTGAGCAGCGCTGATAGGGGTTATAGCAAAGCCGATATACACCTTTGGACTCATCTTAGTAGAACCATTGTCAAGTCGGTGTTGGTGACTGCTCAAGAGCATTTGCCACCTCCATGGAGAAGCACCGGCTAGACAGCCAGCTGCATGCTTCTGGGCTACTTTTCCTGGAGTCTTGACTTGTCCTTCTCGGCTATCAGAACTTCTGGCGAACACTTGTTTGAGTAGGTTTCACTTTTTAAAGCCTGTTGCTGGTGGATGCCATCAGTTTTCTGGCATTGAGAGAGTGAGGCAGGTGCCTCAGAGGTGCCTCACCAGAGTTTTGGCGAGTTTCGAGCTGTTGTCTGGATATTTGCCTTCTCTTTGATTGTGGTGCCATCACGGGCCGTACAGTTCTCGTGCGTCCTTGGGAGAGTCTTTGGGAAAGTTCAGGCAAACGCCAACGTGTTTTGATAACCCGTGGAACACCCCTCAAATCGGGGAGCCAAACTGGAGGATTTCCCATGTACAGTTCCGCGCGCGCTGAGGCGGTGCCAATCCTCACGAGCTTCTTTCCTTGTGAGGAGTTGTCCGCCGTGATGGATGAGACAGAGGCGGTGGCGTTTGTGTTTTCAATGCCGTGGTTTGCCTGTTTCCCAACATGAAAACTAGGCTAGGTAAACGATTGCTCCCCCCCGGCCCAGAGATAGAAGCCCAACCTCTGGTGACATTTGGCAACAGATGCGATTGATTTGTACAGCCTTGCATGCATGTCACTCCTGAAGCAGGCAGGCCACTTAGCACAAGGTTGTTTGCCAAGGACAAAGGGAATGATAACAGACGTTGTGGGTCAGCGAACCCGGCAGGTTTCCCCTCACTCCCCGCAAATGGTTGACACTTTCAAGCAGCATAGTGACCCTTTCTAATCGTAGTCTTTGCTGCACGGGATTGTCTTTGTTTGAGGGTAGCCCTTTTCAGGTTGGTGAAAAGGAGAAAAAAAAGTTCGGCATTTTTGGAGTCTCCGTACTTGACACATACCCATCTCCCCCAGTGGCGCTGGACGGGGCCAGATTTCGCTGCCAGGCGGCACTTCGGCAACTGGAGTCACAAGCAGAATGATGCGCTGTGAACACAATCAAAATCATGTCAATCCAATCAGATCAATATACTTTAGAGCCTCCGGCTCACCCCTCTACAGAAAAAGGGTCCTTGTTCTAACCTCTCTAGTGGAGGACCTAGTCTCTCTCTCTCTCTCTGTCTTTCTGTGTCTCTCTTTCTCTGTCTCTTTTTTTTTCTCTCTCTCTCTCTCTACCTCTCTCTTTCTCTGACTCTGGCTCTGTCTCTGTCTCTCTCGCTTTCCCTCTTTCTCGCTCTCTGTGTCTCTCCCTCTCTCTCTCTCTCTCTCCCTCCCTCTCTCTCTCTCTCTCTCTCTCTCGCTCCCGCTCCCTGCCCTGACTCTCTCTCTCTCTCCCCCTCTCTCTCTCTCTCTCTCTCTCTCTCTCTCTCTCTCTCTCTCTCTCTCTCTCTCTGGCTCTGGCTCTGTCTCTGTCTCTCTCTCTCTCCCGTTCCCTGCCCTGACTCTCTCTCTCTCTCTCTCTCTTTCTCTCTCTCTCTCTCTCTCTGCACGTTTCTCATGATGTCCCGGTCATGTCCCTTCCATTCCTTTCAACTCCCCCTTCATGTCCCTGACATTTTCTCGGTATGTCCGCTTCATTTTCCATGTATGTCCCGTTCTTCGTTGTGCCGATTGGTTTCCTTGTGCTTTGTTTCCCTTTCATTTTTTTTGCACTCCCCTTGTTTTCATATCTGTCCCTTTCATGTCCCTTTCAGTTCCCCTTTGTTTCCCTTTCATCTCCCGTTGTTTTCCTGTCATGTCGACTTCCTATTTCCTCCTCTCATTTCCTTGCACTTCCTTGCATTTCCCCTTTGCTCCCCAGTATGTCCCGCAAAAAAAACGGTGTTTCTAGCGTTTTCGCAAAGAGACATCGAGTTTTTCCAGATTTTCGGCAAAGGGAGGCAGGAAGCCCAAGCCAGCAAAAGAGCCGGCAGGGGAATCGGGCTTGGGACCGTTTTGCGACCGACTGCCCGAAGACTACATTTGATGGAAGGTCACTAAATGACCGCGCTAAATTATATAATATATATTAGATATATTTTAACATTAATTATTCTATATAGAGTATTATGATATAAATTATATTGAATATTATATATATATTATTAATATTATAATATATTTGATTATATATTATAATGAAATTAATATTAATTATAATAATATATTTTAATATTTATATTATTATGAAAATTTAATATAATAAATATATATAAAGGAAATATAAAATTAAATATAATTATATTTATAATATTTTACATTATGAAATGAAGATAATTATGTGTAAAGAAAATTACATCCTAATAATAATTATGTTATGTATTGTTGGGTAAGATTATATGAAGGTTTTATTAAAATATGTTATGAAGGCGATAAATGTCTATAAATTATATGAATTATAAAAATAATATTATATTGATGGAATTATTATTCTAAATTTAATTAATTGGTAATTTTTAGAATTTATGATTTTGAAAATATAATTTATATATTATTTAAATTCATAATTGTTTTATTTTATACTTTAATACTAATATAATTAATTTATATTTATATATATTTATTTTGGAATTAACTTAATTTTATTATGAAAAATATAAATTAATTAAATTAATCCATATTAATAATATTCGATTGTATATTATATATATATATTATAAATATATAATTTTATAATTATATATATAAATATATATAATAAATTTATATATGGAAATTAACACAAAAAAAATATATATATAACCATATTAATAATTAAATATAATATATATATTTAGATTAAAATTATAGAATATTATATGTATTTAATATTTTATTTTAAAAAACTATAGAATCCATATTGATAAATATGTATTTTAATGTAATGAGATATAAATATATATAATATAATTGATAATTTAATAAATTTAAGATATTATAATATTTATTGTTTTAAATAATATTAAATAATTCTTAATATATATATAAATATATATATATATATTAAATTATATTTCGCTACTAAAATATATCTAATATACAATAAACATAATTAAAATAAATAATTTCAATATTTATATATAGTTTTTTATTTTAAATATATTAATATAATAAAAAATACAAATAAAGAAAGAAAAAATCTAGAAATAATGAAAATTAAATTATTCAAATATTTAGAATATGTTTTTTGTTTTTATATAATAATTATTTAAAATTATATATATCAAATTAATTATATTCATTCATATATATATATATCGAATATTGTATAATATTATATCGATTATTGATTCAATTAAATATAATATATATTAATATAATTTCTAGAAATATATGATAATCAAATAACATAATGCCGCCCATTAAATTGATATCTTAATTAGTTCAAATTCAAACAATAATGAAAATCATTAATTTCTATTAATTCTGTAGAATTATGAAATTCAAGTTAATCAAATTTTTAATTTGAATAAACAATATATATATATTAATTCGATATTTGCATATATTAATTAAATACATATATAAATATCTATATATGTGTTTAATAATTCGATAATTAATATTATGATTATTGATTTTGAATTTATATATGAATAAATATATTCATTTAATATTTATATAATTCTATTGCTTATAATTTTATATATATATATATCAATTATATAATTCAATTTTCATAATAATTATATATTTATAAAATCTTAGAACATTATTGGATTTTTTTGGTTTTTTTCAATTTCTTTAAATTTTTTATATATTCTCTTATATATTTCCAAATTCAATTTCAAAGATATTATATATCTCCATATATATATATATACATGTGATTTGTATATATATAGAATTTAAATAATATCTAAATATATAAATATTATATATATTAAATATAATCTATATATATATATATTATAGATTTATAAATAATCAATATATATATATCAAGAATATAATTATTTAATATATAAAAAAATTAATATTACTAATTATAATAAATTAATATATAATTATATAAATATAGATATATATATTAAATATATAATTTTATTAAATTACATTATTTAACGATATATATAAATAAAATATAATATTTCATATATATATTAAAATTGAAAAGAAAAACATAACACATGATTTATAATCATTAATGTATAATAATAATAAACATCTTAAAATTAATTCCACATTTAATCTATCATATTGTTTTTCTATAAATATATATTTAATTATACTATAAATATTTATTCTATAAATTTAATCGGTTAAAATTATATATATAATTTCATTATTAAATAAAAAAGCAAAAAAACCACAAAAGAAAAGAAACAAAACACATATAACATACATATAAAAAACAAAACCAAAATAAAGAAACAAAAAGACAAAAAACAAAACACAAAAAAAGAAACAAAAAAAAGAGAAAGAAAGATAAAGAAAAAGATAAAGAAAAAGAAAAAGATAAAGACAAAAAAAAAAGAATCAAAAAGAGAAAAAACAGAGATCCATGGCACGAAGAATTATTACTAGCCCTAGTTTCGGGGGAAGTCAACCAATACCCCAATAAGATCTAAGTAAATTAATCCTCATTCTATAGGCGATAAAGCGGCAAAAATCCCTCTCTCTCTAATTCTTTCAAGAAAAAAAAAGAAGGAAAAAAAAAAAAAAAAAAACATATATACAATATACAATATCACAACAATAAATAAAACAAATACAAATAATCAAAAATATAAAAACCAAAATAAAAATAAACAAACATTACCAAAAAAAAAAACACAAAAATAAACAAAAAAACACAAAAATAGAAATGCAAAACAAACACAAACACATAAAACCAAATAAAATCAAATAAAGACAAACCAAAATAACCCAAGGCAAAAAAACACAAACACACAAACAAAGATAAACAAACTAATAAAATCCAAATTAAATATTAATTAATTCCACCATATTAAAACAAAATCTATTATTTTAAAAAATAATAATTAATTATACCAACCTTTAAAAATATTCATTAATCAAAACAAAAAATAAATAATTCATTATATAATCATATCAATCCTCAAATCTCATTTTACTAATACAAAAATAAATTCAAACTTCATTTAATTTACCATATTTCAAGGGATTATTTTTATCACTATTTTATTAAAACAAATCATACCACCACATAACAATAATTTAATTCTTCTGAAAAACATAAATTCATCATAATCAATAATTACAAACATTGAAGTATTTTTCAAAATATACATAGTAATGGGCATAATCGGTTTTCCCCATCAAGCCCATCAATCAATTATTCATTCAATTTGAATTACTTCGCACCACTGTTTCCTTGGATACACATTCGGATAAACTCTGACGCAAGCTTCTTCAATTCTGAACGAGACAGACTGACTCCAAAGACTCTGTTGAGCATCCTCACCTTGGAGGGAAGGGTAGGCGTTCCATCAGCTTTCCAAGTCTTTTGACCACACAATGAAAAATGGAATAAATGGAGATCTCCACACAACGACGAAACCTCCCCTCCCCAATCAACCATCTCTGAGGCGGTGAGGCAACTTGCATCCAGGTCTCGGTGGGATAACCCATGTGCTCTGCACCTGAACGGCACAAGCCAATAGCAAGCACCCGGGTTTGGAGACTTGGCTCGGAAACGGTCATGCGCGCCACGAACAAAAATCATCAAGCCGCTTCAGAACATGATAAAGTTGTAGGGCCCTCTGGTGTTGTGAGGACCTTGTTCGCTCCAAGCCAACAATGGACTCCTTACACTTTCATAGATGCTGATGAATTCATCTCTGCTTCGTCTCTGGATGCAAAGCGCCACCCTTTGAAAGCCAATCAGCGGCGACACATGCCGACATGTTCACGTCTTTGTCCGCCCAGCAACAAATACTATGCCGCTGTCCAAAAGGAAAGTAGTCTTGCTGAAGGGGTTGTGCGCTCGTTGGCCAGAGGGTAAGTCTGCCCTTCCTCTTGCACAACTTGCCAATTTCTGCCAAGGCGCTTGGTTCGCGCTCCCAACATTGCGCTGCCTGCGTGCAACTGTCATTGGAGCTTCAACAGCAACGAGTGCCCCGTTTTGGGAGGGATCCCGACGACGGATTTGGAGGGTGCCTCGGGCAGCTCCCCAATTTTCTCAGTGAGTAGCTCAGTTCAACCCAGAAGGGCTGTGAATTTCTACTGGATATGTGTAGATATATATATATATATATATATACACATCTACATACTTACTTATTGACGTCTCGATGTAACGTGTCTCGATGTCGCACATCTGACCATGGAATTATATTGAAATTATGAGCCACGGTCATATTTACAAAGGTTAGGGACACAAATTTGGCGAGAGGATTTTGACACCTGTGCTGTTATCTGAGACAAGGTTGACACACTCTGTCTACCGCCAAACCAAAAGGGAAATCGCGTGCCACTCATAAAAGGGTAGGAGAAGGGGCCCCAAGCCAGCGAAGCTCAGTACATCAAGCAGGTTCATTGGAAACTCTAACTGCTCTTTCTGAGCTTTTTTCCGAGAGAAAGCCTGCCGTGACTCGCTATACCCGCGCCCCAAAATAGGTTCAAGTGACATCCTCACAAATATCCTCTGAATGGTGGCTCAAAGAGCAGCCGTCCCAAAAGCCATTTTGAGACTCCACAAAATGCAACCACTTTAAGGGCCCAGTCAAACCAAGCCCATTCTCTTCGCGAATGAGGCCCGCCTCTTGGGCGACGGGGTGAGGCCCGCAGCACGCTTGCGCTGGAGCCGCTGGGGTCCTGTCAGCTGACCTTTGGTAACCTTTTCGGGTAGCTTCTAAGGGTGCCTGGCTAGCAGCTAAGGAACTTGAAGCATGCGAAGACAGCGCCGATGGGTTGTCCTAAACTCTTGGTGGAGCTGGCGCTGGCGGTGCTGGCGGCGCTGGCGCGGACGAGGACGCTACAGACAGTGCTATGAAGGCGGAAAAACGGGGTGTGGTGTGCGGCTTTTGTCGGATTTCCGCCTTGATGCAGTCATGTTCTTCCGGGAAGCGATGTTGCAGGCAAACCGTCTCTCGGCAGTTCTTGCATTCAAACTTGTTGGAGGGGCCGAGTTTTTCCTTGCAGGGCATAGGGCCCCGTCGTAGACAGGAGGCTTCACGTGCAACTTTGCCGAAAGTACGCAATCGACCTGCTGCTTCACACATGGGGCAAAGAATCACCTGCACCGAGTTCTGGTCAGCCTTTACACAATTGTGACTGGTGTAGGAAAAGTGCTTCTGGCAAAAAGTCTGCGTACATCACATTTGAAGGGAAGAAACATCCAAAGCTACAATGAGCGGCGCCCTTCGCATCCAGTTCCGTGGCTGGTCGGCGTACTGACCCAAGAACGAAAAGCACCTACCAAGACTGTGTGGACGAGAATCATGTGACATTTCGGACAAGTCGATGGAACATGCAGTTCTATAGCAGCGATCTGAGCATGGATTTTGATGCTCCATCATGTCCTTTGCCTCATTGAAGCAAGAGGATCAGCCACATGTGGCTATGTCTTCAGGGAGCATTGCTTGGAAAAGATCAGAAAGTCACAGAGTCACAGACTTGGGGCACACAGTCAAATAGCTCCAGAACGAGAAAGATGCTTAACCAGGTTGGGAGTGGCGAGAAACAGGCGGCTCCCTCACAGGAAGTAAAACGAAGCAAAGCGGCAGGAGAAAGGAAATGATATCCAAAGTCTAGGTGGTAGGAGCATCGCTGTGCAACCTCATTACCGAGGCAGAGTTTGTTGTGCCCCCGCACCAATTGACATGATACGGTGGGGGTGTTTTGTAGTGTTTTCAGAAACTAGTAGAACCGCACAATACAATTGACTTCTTAGCCAATATTATCGTTGATAAAGGGGCCACAGAAAAGTATAGAACCGCTTGCTATATGGAACGAGGCTTCAGTTGACTTGTTGATTTGTTGTACCGAACTGTACACTCGGGGCTGTTCTGCCTCTGGCCACGTGTGCCCTGTCCCTATTGTGCTCCAGGTCCAAGGCCAGACCAAGTGCCTGAGCACCGTGCCGTATTTCTGCACACTACCCATGTCCTGTTGGCAAGGTCAATCACATCTACGCTCAATTTGATGCTTCAAACTTTGCAACAGGGGTTGCGACGAGTTCAGTACACATAGGGAAGTAGTGGAGCTGGAAAGCCGGCCACTTGCTCCACTTCGGCTGATTGGCCCCTGTACCCCAGTTGGTCATTTTCTAAAAACAAGTCTGGAGGCTTCAAGTCAACATCCGTCTTATCCATCCCTGAGAGTCTTGGGGCCGTCGTGCTCATTTCCAAGGCTCACTCGACTGGCAACTCTTTGCTTACCACTATGAAGCACGTGTCCTCTGGTCAGAGACAACCGGACCGGGCCGGGCTGTCAGGCCCCTCAGGGTTCCTTTGTTTGTTTGTTACGTACCCCAAAGCAGACACTGAAACACAGGGGTCCCCATAGAGTCATTCACCCAAAATCATGAGCACATTACCCCATGTTAAGGGGGTCAGAGAAGCACTCAAACAAAGCAAGCCCTATTGCTCCTGGCAGCGCCAGCAAAGGAGACGCGACCTGAAGGTGCCAAGGATATGTCATTTTCAATGAGGGTGCCTGGAAGAGCTACTTTAAGCCACTTTCATCCGCACATAGGCGAAAAGCGACGTGCTTTTCCTGGGGGAAGAGCAGGTCCATGCTCCACCCTTTCAACTGGAGTAGGAGCCCGGAGGACAAGGCCTACCTGGCGTATCTCTGCTTGACCAAGAGACTCATGGACGCAGCGTGCGGAGGATGCCCCAAATAGTGCAAGGAAGGGAACAACGTAATTTGTTACCCTTGTTTTTGGTTGAGTATGGTTGGGTTGGTTGCAATATTTAGGAATTCCATCGTATCTCTTCCCTTCCTCAGTTTAGAATTGGCAGCAAGGCATCTTGACGCATGCGAAATGGCCCAGGGCCCGAGGTGATCAAGAGATAGCCAGCGTAGCCCCAAAGGCAGGACAAAATGAAATGGGAATGTTGGACCTTCCTTGACGGGCAGCAGGACTCAGAGAATGATTTGCGAGTACCCGTTCCACCTTGCTTGGTGTGTGGGGGAGAAAAGGCATTCGCCGGTCATAAAACCCTGATTCAGGCAGGAACAAAAGGAAATAACAGTTCGCTACATGGAAGAGGGATGAGGCCAACAATTCTTTCCTTTTTCACCTCTTGGTCTCGTTATCTGGTGGCGTGGAAGCGGTAGGAAGGGCAAATCACGCCAAACAAGGACAGTCTTTCCATCGATTTCACTCATAAGAGGGTGCCAAAACAAATCCATGTCACAGGTAATGCAATAATGCAAAACCACATGCTTCTCTTACATAAACAACAGATACGAGGGCCAGTCATCTAAAACCCCGGACGGACAGAATCCCACACGTTCCCGCGGCCTTCGCAGGATCAAGCTTGGCCGCTGGGAGCTTGCCGCACTGTGCTGCCTGGAAGCTGCTGGCATACTGGTCGGGAACAAAACCCGGAAGTTGATACCCGAAGCGGGTCATGTATGACTTCTTTGCTACTTTCACAGGTGATGATTGAATGTCAAACACAAAAACCCGAATTACCGAACTGTCCCGAGCAGCCATTCTACATGCCGCGTTTGCGAGGTCGCAATTCTACATCCCTAAGAATCATTAGGTACCTTTTGACAAAGCATTCGCTGGGCATAAAACCCTGATTAAGGCAGGAACAGAAGGAGAAAAAAAGGTCGTTATCCCAGACATGGAAGAGGGATGAGGCCAACAATTCCTTCCCTTTTCACCTCTTGGTCTCGTTATCTGGTCACATTTCTTGACCAATTCTTGTGGTTCATGTCCTCTCTTGCCTCTCTGTATGATCTGGTGCGAGGATTTGTGGCTTGGAAGCGGTAGGAAAAGGAAACTCACGCCAAACAAGGACAGTCTTTCCATCGATTTCACTCATAACAGGGTGCAAAAACAAATCCATGTCTCAGGCAATGATGAAAAGACACATGCTACAGTTACGAGGGCCAGTCATCTAAAACCCCGGACGGACAGAATCCCACACGTTCCCGCGGCCTTCGCAGGATCAAGCTTGGCCGCTGGGAGCTTGCCGCACTGTGCTGCCTGGAAGCTGCTGGCATGCTGGTCGAGAACAAAACCCGGAAGTCGATACCCGAAGCGGGTCATGTATGACTTCTTTGCTACTTTCACCGGTGATGATTGAATGTCAAACAGAACCCCCCGAAATACCCGACACGTCCCGAGCATGAGCGGCGTTCTACATGCCGCGTTTGGGAGGTCCCAAGGCCTTTTACCAACCAAACGCTGTCCACCATTTTGTGAAACACTCATGTTTCTCAGAGTTAGGGCCACTTTCAAGTGGCTGAGTTCCGTTTGCTTTCCACGGACCATCGTCCAAAGAGGAGTTCCCTTGAGGACAAACCCATCATGGTACCCTCCGGGCAGTGGGCGATCGCCTCGTAGAAGCGCAACACCTCAGGATGCGCCCGGCATCCCAGCGCCATCTTCCCGCGGAGCCACAGGCCCTCAGTGCCTCAGACGAGGCTTTTCGCCTTTCGCCGGCCGTCGGAGGCGGCTTTTTGTTCACCGGCGCGTTGGAAAAGGCCGACCCAGCCGGTTGCGCTCTTTTTCTCACAGACATAGGCCAGTGGTGGTACCTGGTATGGCTATCCCGGTGCACTTTGCTCAATTACAGGAGACTCCACCTGGCCTTGCTTGCCACTGGGCGTTGTTGTTTGATGTGGTTGTCACGGCCAATCTGCTACTGCCAGGGTGTGGACCCCTCTTGGCGTTTGAAGGATAACTTCAAAGGACACCGACATGTTCCCATTCCTCTCATTCAAAGCCATCACCTCATCCACCAAGCGACCCTCTCAGTTGATAAACTATAATCCGTGGTGGGAAAAACATGCACTAAGGCAAAAACAAGCAAATGTTCCATCCATCGTTGGTAGAAACTATCCCCCGCAACCAGGGAAACTTCAAAAGGACACCAAAAGCGAAAGGGGAGCCAACACTCCCCTCGTGCGAAGGGACACCTGAAGTCGGAACCAACATGAAACCAACCATTTGCTGGTCAGAGGCCAGAGGTATGCCTGCTTTCAGAAACCATCAAAATGGCGGCCCCACTTGGTTGGTGTTTATAGGGAGACCACAAGGAAGCCCACCATTTGAAGAACCCCCTATTTTGACGCATACCCATTCAGCACCCAGCTTAGCACCCAGCTTAGCACTCAGCTTCTCAAGAAGGGAGCCCTTCTGGTGTTTACAGGGAACCAACATGAAAAAAGGCCATTCCCCTGAACCTGGAACACACACAGGCCCCCCAAAACCGAGATTCGTATAAAGAGGCTTGCTTTTCAATTGAGCACCAATATGCTCCTTCCCTGGCTCCCTGACGCCTGGAACGCAAGGGGGTCGTTCCCCTTCAAGATTCCTCGACAGATGGATGGCTTAAGGAATCCATGTTAAACATGGGATAAACCTTTAAGACCCATACCAACTCCAACAAAGGATGCGCCAACATACCAATTTCTTCTCCTCTGAGCCAAACATGAATCCTTCTTGTGAAGATTACTTCAAAAATGGATGTCCCCCAAAGGAGATTCCTCCAAAGATGGCTGGCAGGGTTCCATGTAAAGTTAAATGTAGACGTTCCTTTTACCCACTGCACAAAACCACTCCGCTTTCAGGGTGCCAAAGGATTCCAAGGATGGATGAACCCTGGTGCCCTACATTCCCCCCCAAGCATCACCCCTGCCAAGCGAATCTCGCTTTACAAGGCGCCACCACAAGGCAATGTTTAGCCAGACTTGTTGTGGTCTCCACGGCACGGCTGGAGAAATAGTGGTACCCGTGGGGATTTGAACCGTACCATCGCCTTACAAGGCACTGTTTAAAACTACCAACAGCTGCAAAATTCTAGGTTTGCCTCAAACTAGGGCTACCCAAATGCGTGGTTTTCCCGTGGCGTCCCTCGTTTTGGGGGGCTGACCTGCTGACCCCTTTGCCCGTCGTGCGTCTGAGGCGCCGGTGAGCCGCGACAGCGCCACGTAGCTCTGCCCCGCCTCGAAGGCGTCGTCCAGCTGCAGCTCCGCCCTCGTCAGCGTCATGCCCTGGGCCTGGCGGACGTAACTTGTGGAGCCGTGGGGGAAAACGGAGGGAGGGGGCCCAAAAGGGGACCAAAAGATGAGTGGAAAACAAAGGGGCCAACAAAAATCAAAAACAAGAAAAGAAAAAGGAACTAATTCTGGCATAGGGAAAAGGAAGATTTGAAGCAGCAAATCGGCTTGAAACTAACTTGGAAACATCTTGAGGTGGTTCCCCTGGAATTCCAGATATCAAGAATCTGAGGAAGCGTGCTCCAGGCACTCGTGAATCTTCAATCTTGATTCCAGGAGTAAACACTTGAAACGCTGTTCGGGCAGCTGAATTTTGGCGGCGTGCCAGGATTCAACATGTCCTGGAATGTGCTTCTACATTCAGATGCTTGACTCTGACTCTGAATCTCCCCGATGAGCTCGAAATGCAGACCCCGAGGTCAACACTGAGGATGAAAGGTGGTAAACTAAAAGCAAAGCATCCCTTCAACAAATGTGACACTTCCGATAAATCAACTAGGAGTCTGAGAGTTAGCTGGGACCACATTTTGCTCGATCTTTCTGACACGTGATGTGCACCCGGATCCCTTTCCTGGCCTTGTGGACAGTAAGCGCCCATCCAAGCTTCAAGGGAACCTGGAACCTGCGCACGGTGCATGGTTCGTCATGCTTTTTCTGTCATCACTTTAGTACAGGGCAACGATGTAAGGATACTACATGTAGATCCTGGATATTGTATGGCGAGTTCAAACATCCGCACTAAGCGATAACATGTTCACCTTATTTGAGCAAAGCATATTCAAGTAAAGGATCTTCACCACGGGGTAGATCGCTCATGTTTTTTACTTTGTGCCACTACCAGATTCTCCGAAACTTGAAGCCGCAATTTCCTACTTCAAACATGGGTAGCCCATTTTAAGCCCTGGCTACAGTACATGGGGCCCTTTGGTGGCTGCTTCCATGCAATCAGCCAAAAATTAGCCAATTAAACTATGACCCAGACATTCGCACCAGGGATTCATACATTTCTCCTTTGAAAGCTTAAGGGCTGCACTTAGATTGAGAAGCCAGATCTAGTTGCCTTGGGTTGACCGGTTGACCCCGGACCTAGGACAACCGCCACTAACATCTGCAATAATTACAACACTTCACCACCTGTTTACGCCACACGCTAACTGTTGCCAGCTTAGGGCGCCCCTCGTTTTGGGAAAACCCATCCTTGAAAGGGCCCATCCGTGAGCGCGGACTCGACACATGAGGTTTCTACTCTGTTCAAAAGAGCTATTTGGGTTGGCCAATCCGATACTCTATGATTCTTGGGAAATACTGGAAGGGGTCCCCACGTTTTGGTATCTCAAGAACCTCAAGATTGCCTTTGAACAGCCCAAGTCCTACATGGTCAGCTTCTCAAACAAGAACACGCTGGAAGAAGCAAGCCGCTTGATGCACAACGAGTCTGCAAACAAATATTTTGTGGCCAAGGACTCTGTTGGAGTAGCTATCCTGGTCCTGGCAACACTTTTCCTGCTTCAATTTGTCTGGCATGCGCTCAACGTCGATTTTGAAGGCTCATTCCGGGATTGGAGTCTATGAGGGGCCCACAAGTTCAGTGTGGGCCTCTTGGCCGTGAACCTCCACAGGCTCCCCCGACCTGTTCAAAAAACCTTCTCACTTGCTGGCTGGATTGCTCAGAAAAGAAGCCCGACTTGCTGTTTCAAGTTGAAAAAGATCTTCAGCCCAACTCCAGTCCTGACTTAGTGTTTCACCTGGACACGTGATCTTCCCCAACCACCCCTCCAGTTCAGAAGCCCGAGTGCGAAGTCTGACGCTTCCAGGGCTCCACCGGGGAGGAGCGCGTGCCAGTCTCGCCTGGTGAGACTCGAGGAGCCCGAGCCCTGCGTGAACTTCTGCACGCCGATACCTGGGTTGCGCAGCTCCGAAGTCCATGGAAAGCTTGGGCTCCTGTTTTTGTTGGGGTTTTGCGTAAGAAAGTGTGTGAAGTGAGTGCCCCATATATTCTTCCAAATGGAGAATAGAATGATAAGCTCGATATGTGTTGGAATTGTATTGTATGGAGCAAAGTTAGTGCTGAAATGCTGATATGACTAATATGTTGACCGAACCTCTTTTGGTTTGTTTGCTCTTCAGGCGCAACCCAAAATGGACTGTGTGCGTGTGTGCCCTTTTGTTCCTTTGACCCGACTCGCAAATGGTTGTGCGGGGTTATACAAGCCCTCACCATAATTCCTCTTGACTGAGCAGAATGGCCAAGAGGCTTTTCGGGCGCTGTTCATTGTGCGATCCAACAGTCTCCTGCCTACATGGATCACTGTAACCCATCTCTATGTTTGACACTGTACCGAGCAAACCAAAGGATCAAGTCTGCACTTGCCCTGAAGCAACACGTAGACAGTGTCAGTGACTTGTTGTAGCGAGAACAGAACATGGGTCTACCATAAGATCGATTTTTTCCACATGGGAGACATCACACGCACACACACACACACACACAAACTTGTTAAACAACAGAAACAGCATGAAGGAGCAGTGATGGATTGTCAGTGCGCGAATCCATGACCTAGATGCCCTTTGGGAGATCCTTTGATAATCAACCAAACTGAAGCAAGCAAACCAAACACAGAAAGGACATATCAGCTTTTGTTTCCTGATCCCCCATGACAGCCCCCCATAGCCCTCCCGAAGGACACCTACGGACCAAAGTTGCGGAGTGTTTGGCAAACTCCAATCTGCGGCTCAGGTCACAGACACGCTTGCCATTGTCAAAGCGCACCACAGGCATGCCTCCTTCGAAGGCCTGGCAATGGACATCAGCGCGGTGAAAAATGACACCATTGGCGGATTGCTTTCACCCAACTGGAACAAGGGTGCCTTGTTTGGAGGTGGTATACTTTCTGGATGGTTCAAAAAGCAACACGAACCCCGCACATTTTGGGCTCAAATTGTTGAGACAACACGTCTCAGTATAAGAAACCATTTTCAGGATGAGGTCAAAAGACCAGACCCCCAGTGGCCATGGACAAAAGGGCACCACTAGAGGTATGGGAAAGAAAGAACCATAAATACAATTTCTTGGACACTCCCAAATCTAATTATGAATGTTGTGTTGAGCGCTGCACGAAACGTTGTCCAATGCGAGGTTGGACCCACCCCAAACCTCTAAGATCCTGCAATCACAACCGAAATGGACATACGTCCAAGCAGGTTGTTATCAATGGGTCTGAATGCGCAAAATCACGACACGAGGCTACTAAAATGAAACTAATGCGTATTAGGGACCCTCTGGTGGACATCTTGCAAATTGGGTTTATGTCCACCAACCATGTGACGGGCTTCTCAAATCCAAATTGGCTTTCCAGAGATTTGAACGCGGTCCTTGGTATGTCCACGAGCATGTAAGTAGGACACTGCAATACTGGGAATTCTTATGACTGTGCTGGTTTCTAAAAATGCGAGGACACTTCCAGAAAACCTACCACTCCTGCCCATAGCACATAGCCCCCATATTCACATCCCCCTCAGCGTGTGGGGGGTAGACTTTGAAGACACTCCTCCGGGGCCTTCGGCTCACCGAGCCGATGGTCCGTTGCCTCCCTATTTGGAAGTACGGCATGGCCCCAAGAGGAATCCCACGCTTACCGTACGCATTTTCCGAACAAGGCAGTCCGAATTGCTGGCCATGGAAACAAACCTGCCTCCACTCGACCTCTGTGGCCGTTCACCAGGCCCAGAGAAGGCTCGTTGCGGAGGTGGATGACCTGCGGGCAACCCCAAAAGACGGCAACTTCTCAGAATGGAAGGGGGCTGGAGTAAACGGAAGGAGACCATGTCGCCGATGGCCTCGAACACATCATCCTGAACAACATCACCTCTTGAACCAACTTGAAGTGAGTGACAAAAAGAGGCGTCCACTTAGACCACTAAAACCGTCCCAAGCCTGAGTCCCGTTGGACGCTCTGCCGGGAGATGTTCAGAATTCCTGGATTTCCAGGTGACGGTCAAGGATTGGGCTACTGAAATTTCTACCCCCCAACAAATGAATCAGGGACACGCAAACTTTGCAGGGACCCTTTGACACTGCAAGGCTCTCGATGGTTGGATATAAATGGCCCCCGGCAAAACACACATGGGCCAGGGTTGATCAACATTCTGACCCAAATGACCATGGGTAATTAACTTTTCAAGTGTTTCTCCACTGGTCATCCCATGCAAAGGGCCTTTTCATCAGCCCCTGCCAACTTGACTCCGCAGAGGCGAGAGGGCCCAGCCTGTGCTCCAGGCTTCAGCTTCAGCAAAGCTGGTACCTGCCGACGAAGCCATTTTGCATCCTCTGTGGAACCCAGTATTGTCAAAAACCATTCCCCCTCTCCTGAAGGCATGGATTTTTTTCTAGGACTGTTTCCTACCTTCCTAGCTCCCTACGACCTTAGTGGACTCCCAAGCCTTGCCTTACCAAGGCCGCATGGTTCAAAGTATATAGAGGGACTCTGAAAGCTCACGCCATGTTGGGACCGAACCTAATCTTGCTTTTGCGAATGCAGCTGCACGGTTTTCTTAGGGTCATTCGGTCATTCCCTCCTTCTCTACTGACCAGCCATGGACTGTGACCGCATCGTGGTCGGTGCGGAACGCGCCTTCCGGTCCAAGGCCGAGCGCTGCAAAGCGCTGCACCTTCGTGGCACCTGATCCCGGGCGCGCAGCACCACCTCTTCCCCTGGCGTGCGAACGAACGCCATGCTCGAGCAAAAGGTCGATAGGTTTCATGCCCATTTCGCGGTTATCTGAAAACATATATCTAACTGTATCCATTTGGGTAGAACTGATTGTTGCTCACCACGTGCTTTTCGGGTATCTGGGTATCCATCATGAGGAAATTGTTGGGAGTTCGGATGAAGGCAACTTCCGAGCTTGCTACGTGGGAGTAGATCGCTTGCGCATATGTTGCCAAGCCGAAAGCACCTACATCCCTGCAACATCATGGCTTCCCTCAAACCCGTGTGGTTCTTGAGTGCGTCCTTTAGCGTTTTGCTTCAAAGGTCCCTTCGTGCCTCATGAAACAAGAAAGCCCTTGACCCCGAAAACCTGCAGCTAGGGCACCAATGAACCTCTGGCCATTTGACAACTTCAGTGGCGCGACATGCACATGCCCTCCCCAAGCTGCACCTGTTCAAATGGGTGTGTCAACATCAGGGACACCACTTACCACTTTGGATGGATGTCAAATAAACCCGCTGATTTGCAAGAGCACTTTAGCATCCTTTGATAAGCTTTGCATACCAAGAGGAAACCAGACCCACTCGGCAGGCTTTTCCACCCATTGCAGTATGCTGTGTTGGGACCTCCAGGAACCAAACATCTATCCACGCGTTTTGCCCCAGGCTGGTAAAGCCCAAACCTCAGTGTGGCTGCTTGGTTTCCAGCTCTACCCAGCCCGAGGGTCCAACTTGGCCTGGTAGCTGAGCGAGACGCTTGGCGTTCTCTGCGTCCACATTCCTCGCATCGAGACCTTCCCCATTCCAGCTCATGGACCCCTAAAACTAGCAACTTTTCGCAATAATTTCGCTGCAACACCCAAAAAGAGGTCGTCAAAATGGCGGAAGCCCCGTAGATTTGGCAGCTTTCCTTGTGGTTTCCCCGTAAACCAACCTTCACGGGGTACACTAGAGGAAAGCACACAGACATTTGTTTGGTTGCCGCCACCCCCTAATGCCTGCATGAGCCCTGGGCAAGCCCCAAAAATGGGACGTCCGGACCAGAAAATACAAGGCTAACGTTTTTTGAATCTCGACTAGAAATGGATCAAAGGAAAGCCAAATGGCAAGAGTCTTTGAGAAAAAAAAAGCGGAAAAAAAACACAAACAACAACGTGAAACCTGTCCTCATGGTGCTTGGAACCATTTGCTCGTTTACGAGTCGTTCGACCATGGAAAATGCACACGCTCATGTCCGGAGCAGGTTATGTCTGTCAACAAGTATCATGAACAATATCCCAGACAAAGAAGAGCCCACCCCACATAACGTAGTTCAGCTCGGACCATCCCAAACACACCAGCAGTACGTGGCTTCTAACAGACCTTGAACCCCGCCCCGCCAATGCCCGTTGATCACCAATCCATTTGGACCACGGTCAAAATTTGAAGATCACCTCGATTGACGTGGGTTTATGAGCGTCCCCTCGTCTTTGCGCTGGAAATCTAGAGGATACCCCCCATGTTTTCCCAAATCTTGGGCTTTTTCCCCAAACCTCACCTGGCTGTGGGTCAAAAATAGGTACCCGAAATGGAACCCTTGTAAGTGGAAACATGGACCCAAACCTGTGGTCCCCTGATGGTTTTAGTTTGACCCAAACCCCACCTGACATCCCCCGGCACTTTTACAGCCGTAGGCACCGATTGAGGCAATAGAGCCTGGTCGGGAGAATGCCATCAGCAGGCGGCGTCTTCACTTTCACCTAGCGGAGTACTCACTCTGGGAGGAAGAAACCTCCGGATCCATCGGGGCATCTCTTTTGCATAAATTTGCAAACAAGAAATAGGAAACTCCTTCTTGTTACCCATATCAGTGACTATCATCTGCGCAATTTAGACTAAATGTGCAAACAAGAAATAGGAAACTCCTTCTTGGTACCCATATCATGTCGAATGGGACCCGAATTGTCACAATGCCAAATATCCTCCGCAAATCGCGTGCTTCACGTGTTGCTCCTGTCGCATCTCCGGAGGCCATGGAACTTTGAAGACCCCATGTGGGAATGTATCAAGATAGGATGTGTTTCCAGACAAACTGGTGGTAGTTCCATTTCTTTCTGTTGGTTTCCATGCAAACCAACGATAGGCAACACACAGCAGCTGTTGCTGTCGCCCACACACACAAGATGTGTATTGCAGGCATAACCTTCAGAAGGAGGCAAATAGGGTTGACTTAGATTGCACCCACACACACAATAACATACAAACAAATACTTGCAAGCTCCCGCTGCCCGCCATTGTTTCAGCACCTCTCCTACCTGAAGGATGATAGTGATAGATGCTGCCGAGCAACGTGGCAACTGGCAAGCATCGCGTTCGCCTTCTCACTGACGATGCCCACTCGCATCTCGTTCAGGACCTGCAGTTCTCTCGAAACTGGGGTTGCTGAAGAGATCCTACTCACAATGAACTCTGCAAGTGACCCAAAGTCTTGTCTCAAGAAGTCCTCCCTATACCCAATTCACTCAGTTGTGTTGGTCTTAGCCCCCACAAACTACTCTCATAACTTTGTGATTCGACAAGGGATTGAACATTGCGTTGTGTTGTTGTATATATATATATTATGTATCTTTATTCTAGTATACATGCTATCATAGCAACAAGTCTTGTTGTTTCCATCTTTCCGACTTTTGACTTGGCCCGGAATGCCAAGATTAAGTGCCATGCCCCTCCCTCTCCTAGAAGGTCCCACTGTCACCTTTCCGCCCTTGCTGGAATGATCTGTACAGGGGCTCCTGGAACTTTTCCTGACATCGCGTCTTCTCATCCACTGCAATTTACTGTGATTTGTAGATTCGGGAAACGGGAAGTGATATCTCATGAGATCCATTCAAAACCCTCCCGAGCAAGATACTTCAGAAATGGGATGGCAAAGGCCGATCCCGCAGAATGTGGGGATCTTGACCCTGCTTTTGTTTGGGGGGGGGGCTGCAAACACTATGAACCTGTTCAAATCTGTCCAATGCCAATCCAGCAAAACAAAAAACATGCGCCGAACCTGGTTTGACACATATGATTACTCAATAAATCCCTTGGCTGGGCAATGCCCATCCCTTGTGGCCCTGGCGGCGAGCCCTGTTCAGACCTGAGACCCTATCCCCCACCCACGCCGGGCCATACAGCCCTGAGGGTCCAAGCACCCTTTTCTTCGGATGGCTTGTGGGGGGGTTCAATTTTGTTGGGTTCAAGCACCTCCTTACAAGCTGCACGATCCTTAGGGCGAACGGAGATCTGGTTCTTGCCCCCTTGTCAAAATCGACAAACAATTCAAACAACCCGAAGCCGGGCGGATAATCACCCGTCAGAAAGCGGGGACGTCTCATCCCGCCCCCATCCCCGCTCCCCGGACTGTGATGAGACCTCCGCAAAGGCGGCATCCGCTTGCTGCCGCACCGGCTGGCGCAGCAGCACTGTGCCCTCCTCCAGGCCGGCCTGCGCTAGGAGCGGGGCAGCGCTTAGGGGCCAGCTGCAAATGCCACGTGAGTCGCAATCAAAACCTGGTACTAAGATGGTCGTAATCCCAGAACCATGTACAGGATTGAGAAGGCGGCCGCAGCTATTTGTGGTTGGGATCGTCCCTTACTAACCTTCATCTACCCGGGTTTTGATTGTGGCTACTAAGAAATCCGTGTCTTGTTGGATGGATTGCGCCCGATTTTCGCGGGGTCCTTCAATTTTGGTCCCCGGCCTATTGGGGAAGGAAGGAAGGAAGGAAGGAAGGAAGGAAGGAAGGAAGGAAGGAAGGAAGGAAGGAAGGAAGGAAGGAAGGAAGGAAGGAAGGAAGGAAGGAAGGATTGAAGGAATGGAGGGCCCTCAGATCTTCACTCGGAGTTCCGACGATTCTGCTTTCCAAAGGAATCATTTTAGAATGTTGAGCATGCTCCAAAAAGACGGCCAGGCCAGCCTACACACCAAAGGTAACGATTTGGTTGCATATTTGAGGGTACCGTTTTGTGGGCTGGTAAATGGAATGTAAAGGAGAACCGGCCATTTTGGCCCAGCGGCCATGGAAAAAGACAGGGGCACTCTTTCTTGGGTAGCTAGTTTCAAAGGGAACTCCTCCAAAAACAAAAACAAAAACAAAAAACAAGCACAGGGCTCGCAACCCACAGGCCCACAGGGTGTCTGGGTTGAGACGTTTTTGGCCTGTCGCCAGGCCGCGGCGTGGAAACAGAACTGGGCGCTCTTGCCGCGCTCCTGGCGCAGGATTGCGATAGGCAGGGAATGAGACATGACCCCGAGAAAAACCATCCCCTGTGGTTTCCTTTAAGGAGATCCCTGGGTCATTCCCGCATTTCCTACTGAGCGTCGGCAAGAACATTTGGACCTGGCTTGCCCCTTGGGCCGGGCCCCCTTTCAAACAAACCCCAAACACCCATGGTTGTGAGGAAACGAGCAACTTGCTGTTTGCAACACTCACTAGTGGAGAATTCCCCTCCCTTCTTCTTTGTCGCTTCAGTACCAAGTACCCAAACTTCACGTGCTCAAGAGTAAACGTGGGTCGCTCATGAAAAGAAAGGCCGACCAACAGAGATCTCCATCAAGGGTGTTTGGTGCCAAGAAATATCCTGACTTTGTGTTGCCCTGAAATTCGATCAACACTGTCATTGACAAAAAAATGCAGAACCGAGGCTGAGCAGTGGTTTGGAAACCTCCAATTTGCAGATAGGCACGTGGCTTGTGGTAGAATGATTTCCTGCTTCGCTGATGCCTTGAAAACGATTATCCCTGCCAAAAGCTCTCTGGTCCATTTGGGGACCTCTATTTTGGACATCTTTCTGGGCTCGGGCGAGCAACTTGCAGTCCTGGACCGGCGGCAGCTGCAGGAAGTCCCCGCAGAGAAGTACCTGCCGGATTGCAAGCCATTCCATCAAAAGCGGCAAACAAAAACAATTGCAATGCTTGAGAAAACCGTACATACAACACACCAACATATTGCTTTGCACATGAGAGCGAGTGCACATGCATTCCCGTGTGTAAGAGTGCCTGAGTCGAGTCTTTGCGCGTGTGCCAGTTCGTGTGCCTGTGCGGGAGTGCGGGTGGGTGTGCCCATGCCCATTTGCATGTGTGAGCGTGCATGCGTGCGTCTGCCTGTGCGCGCTTGTGCTTGCGTGCGAGTGCTTGGATGTCCAAGTTTGTGTGTCTGGCTTGGTTCCGGGTGATATGGAGCAAGGGTTGAATAGCATTCCAACCCTTTTTGCAGGAGTTCCAGGGCGGCATGGAGCCGCATGCCTTTTAACACCCCTTGCCCAAACAAAAAAAAACATGGCCCGAAAAAATACCAACTCCAACAAGGGCAAGCCCCGGAGCCTTTCCAGAACCCTCGTCCCAGAGCCGCTCCGACTGCGCTCCGAGCCCAAACCCGTCGCGTGGTGTCGATCCTGGAGGCCGCCGAAGGCTGCGGTGTTGCCTCGCACTGCGCTGGCCAACTTGGAGAGGAGGTCCAGCAAGCGGCTGTCCAGCATCGAGATCTCATCCTCACTCACTCATGTGTCAACATAAAGGGGGATCGGACCTCCCGCTTTAAACCAAGGTGACAAGGATTTTAAGAGCCTCACAAAACACGACACCCAAACAAAGGGCCGAAGGAAGAACCTTAGGATTCACTTGACCCTCCCAAAACCGATCCTCAACAGGTACTTGGACCGTCTGGGTAGAGACAATTTCTTTTGCGGGGACACCCTCGATGTTCCTGCAAATGAATATGGAGCCCAGTTCCAGGAGTAATTAATTCTCCTTTTGGATTTCGGGCCCCTTTTCGGGGCCCCATGTTAGTTTGAAGTGGAGATTTCGTGCCTAACCTTGACCGTAGCCCTTGAGGATGCGCCCATTCACTTCACAAACCCAACCCAGGTGAATGATCCAGCACTTGGCACTTGTCAAGGCAAGGGTCTCTGTCACTTGACGCGATGCGATTGGTGGATTGAACAACACGCCAGTGTGGGGGAAGGCCTGCCAACATGATCGTCCCTTTGAAGAAGCCTTGCCACCATGCCTAGGCGGGACTGAATGACATTTAGACAAGCTCCCTGGTGTCAACAGAAACAAAGTCGGTCAACCAACCCTGACTGTCACTGGTCTCGGGAGCTTCGGTCAAATATCATGACACCCCAAGTGGTGAAAGCAAATGATTGGTCAAAGCAGAAAAACCTGTCAACCTCGGAGGATGCTGGCGGGGGCAAGTGCGGGAAAACAGCAATCAGGCAACCACACCAAACACACAAACAAGCCGACTAAGCAAACAAGCACGCAACTCAGTGCAACAAACCAAACAGAGCAAACACACAATGAAGCAAACAAATCAGATAAAACTTAGGTGATCTTAGGTGGCTTTCCAGACCAAAAACCAAACTTGCCGAGTCTCCACGACCAGCACCCGCGTCTTCTTCCACCTCTCTGCCACAGCAGCCTTCTGCACCTTTCGCTTTTTGCTGTCTTTTCAGCTTCGTTTCGTTTTGGTGGCAATGGTGTTTTGTTCTGTTGGTCATGCTAATCATCCTAATCCGTACTCCCTAGGACACCAACGCAGGGGGAACGCATCTAGCATGTGGTATAAGGATCTCGTGGAGCGTTCTTGACCAACCCAGTTTGAAGGGGTTCTTCCAAGGGTTCTGAGAACCTTTCCGCAATGGGTCCTGAAGTCTCTCCATCTGACAGGATCTTGCTGGACGGATTCGGGGCTCCCTAGGTTTCCCCTCAAAACATCGACCCTTCCAAGGGAAACTGAGCTGGCCAAAAAAGGCATGTCAAACCACTCAAAAGGCGACATCCAGTTTACCCAGCGCATGAAGACTGAAATCGCGCCTTCTTCTTCAGCGAGGCGAAGGATCCGGTGCCCAGGCCGATGCCCGCGAAGCTGTGGAGGGTCTGACCCGCCAGGTGCCTCAGGCGACTGGCGCGTGGCTTGCACGCCAAACGTTTCAGGGGACGTGACGAAAAAGGGCCGGGGCCCGGTGCCTTATGTTTGTAGGATTGGAATTTGACAGGTTCCCGTTCCAACTCTCGGCAAAACCAAGCATCTCGGCAAAACCAAGCATCTGGGAATTGGTACCGCCATGTTCCGAAGGGCATTGGCAGAAACGGAACAAGCAACCCACAGGATTTTGTTTGTGCCCCAAAGGGGTGCTCCAAAAGCACCCCAGGATTGTCATCAGGGAGAACTGATGAGCAGTTGGCAGACCCGCAATGGTGTGCTTGCAGCTCATGCGAAGTTTGTGGCACGAGCTGCTAAAAGAGGGTTCTGTTATGAAGAGGAAGCTCACTTCACCGCAAGGTGCTGTTCGAAACACCAAACCAGCAAAGTGCGCGCAATATAGGAGCTCCTGGCTTAAAAGGACAACAAGCTTGATGTCCACGTCGCGATTTCTCGAGCACACGTCAACGACGAAGCTGTGCAAACTACTCTACTCCCATTCCGACCTCAAGCTTGCTTCATACTCCCAAGAGGAATCGAGAACCACCTTTATATAGGGGTGCCAAGCTTCTACCCCAAAAAAACGGAGCTCCCTCGAAGGATGATGCTTTGGGTGCGTCAACTAGGGGAGTAGTGGCTATCTAGCACCTAATATAAGGGGCTGAATCACTACCAGCCTCCAATTGCTGGTACTACTAACTGCAGGAGAAAGACTCAGGAGCTTGCGCAGGCTTTCAAAGCAACTGCAGCGCAGGCCCAAGGTAGCCAGTTGTGCATCACCTGCCTTGCCTTGCGCGGGTTTGCCTTGGAGTCAAACAACAAAGAACAACTGTTTTTTTCTCTCCTGGGCAAAAGGCTCAGAGAGTTTTACTGAGATCATATGAGGAGCGGACGAAACCCTTTACTTGGCCTTAGTACTTTTTTTAACGTCATCGTTTTTGGGGGAGACCTCATCGTTTTACAGTGTTTTCGAACTTTGGCAGATCCGGCTCCAAAATCGCAACTTTCTAGCACAAGTCTAGTACGCGAAGTACACTTCCGCAGCTCCAGCTCGAAATTCGCAACTTTGTAGTACAAGTCTAGTACGCGAAGTACACTTCCGCAGCTCCAGCCCGAAAATTGCGAAATACAATTCCGCAGCTCCAGCTCGAAAAGCGAAACTTGGCAGGCAGTACAAGTCTAATACGCGAAGTACACTTCCGCATCTCTCTCGCAACGCAAGTCTAGTACGCGAAGTACACTTCCGCAGCTCCAGCTCGAAAATCGCAACTTCGTAGTACAAGTCTAGTACGCGAAGTACACTTCCGCAGCTCCAGCTCGAAAATCGCAACTTTGTAGTACAAGTCTAGTACGCGAAGTACACTTCCGCAGCTCCAGCTCGAAAATCGCAACTTTGTAGTACAAGTCTAGTACGCGAAGTACACTTCCGCATCTCCAGCTCGAAAATCGCAACTTTGTAGTACAAGTCTAGTACGCGAAGTACACTTCCGCATCTCCAGCTCGAAAACTTTGTAGTACAATTCTAGTACGCAAAGTACACTTCCGCGGCTCCAGCTCGAAAATCGCAACTTGTAGTACAAGTCTAGTACGGAAGTACACTTCCGCAGCGCTCCAGCTCGAAAATCGCAACTTTGTAGTACAAGTCTAGTACGCGAAGTACACTTCCGCAGCTCCAGCTCGAAAATCGCAACTTTGTAGTACAAGTCTAGTACGCGAAGTACACTTCCGCATCTCCAGCTCGAAAATCGCAACTTTGTAGTACAAGTCTAGTACGCGAAGTACACTTCCGCATCTCCAGCTCGAAAACGCAACTTTGTCTAGTACGCGAAGTACACTTCCGCATCTCCAGCTCGAAAATCGCAACTTTGTAGTACAAGTCTAGTACGCGAAGTACACTTCCGCAGCTCCAGCTCGAAAATCGCAACTTTGTAGTACAAGTCTAGTACGCGAAGTACACTTCCGCAGCTCCAGCTCGAAAATCGCAACTTTGTAGTACAAGTCTAGTACGCGAAGTACACTTCCGCAGCTCCAGCTCGAAAATCGCAACTTTGTAGTACAAGTCTAGTACGCGAAGTACACTTCCGCATCTCCAGCTCGAAATCGCAACTTTGTAGTACAAGTCTAGTACGCGAAGTACACTTCCGCAGCTCCAGCTCGAAAATCGCAACTTTGTAGTACAAGTCTAGTACGCGAAGTACACTTCCGCATCTCCAGCTCGAAATTCGCAACTTTGTAGTACAAGTCTAGTACGCGAAGTACACTTCCGCATCTTCAGATCGAAAATCGTAACTTTGTAGTACAAGTCTAGTACGCGAAGTACACTTCCGCATCTTCAGCTCGAAAATCGCAACTTTGTAATACAAGTCTAGTACGCGAAGTACACTTCCGCATCTCCAGCTCGAAAATCGCAACTTTGTAGTACAAGTCTAGTACACGAAGTACACTTCCGCATCTTCAGCTCGAAAATCGTAACTTTGTAGTACAAGTCTAGTACGCGAAGTACACTTCCGCAGCTCCAGCTCGAAAATCGCAACTTTGTAGTACAAGTCTAGTACGCGAAGTACACTTCCGCATCTCCAGCTCGAAAATCGCAACTTTGTAGTACAAGTCTAGTACGCGAAGTACACTTCCGCAGCTCCAGCTCGAAAATCGCAACTTTGTAGTACAAGTCTAGTACGCGAAGTACACTTCCGCATCTCCAGCTCGATCATCGCAACTTTGTAGTACAAGTCTAGTACACGAAGTACACTTCCGCATCTTCAGCTCGAAAATCGCAACTTTGTAGTACAAGTCTAGTACGCGAAGTACACTTCCGCAGCTCCAGCTCGAAAATCGCAACTTTGTAGTACAAGTCTAGTACGCGAAGTACACTTCCGCATCTCCAGCTCGAAAATCGCAACTTTGTAGTACAAGTCTAGTACGCGAAGTACACTTCCGCATCTCCAGCTCGAAAATCGCAACTTTGTAGTACAAGTCTAGTACGCGAAGTACACTTCCGCATCTCCAGCTCGAAAATCGCAACTTTGTAGTACAAGTCTAGTACGCGAAGTACACTTCCGCATCTCCAGCTCGAAAATCGCAACTTTGTAGTACAAGTCTAGTACGCGAAGTACACTTCCGCATCTCCAGCTCGAAAATCGCAACTTTGTAGTACAAGTCTAGTACGCGAAGTACACTTCCGCATCTCCAGCTCTCGCAACTTTGTAGTACAATCTAGTACGCGCAACTTTGTAGTACAAGTCTAGTACGCGAAGTACACTTCCGCAGCTCAGCTCGAAAATCGCAACTTTGTAGTACAAGTCTAGTACGCGAAGTACACTTCCGCAGCTCCAGCTCGAAAATCGCAACTTTGTAGTACAAGTCTAGTACGCGAAGTACACTTCCGCAGCTCCAGCTCGAAAATCGCAACTTTGTAGTACAAGTCTAGTACGCGAAGTACACTTCCGCAGCTCCAGCTCGAAAATCGCAACTTTGTAGTACAAGTCTAGTACGCGAAGTACACTTCCGCAGCTCCAGCTCGAAAATCGCAACTTTGTAGTACAAGTCTAGTACGCGAAGTACACTTCCGCAGCTCCAGCTCGAAATTCGCAACTTTGTAGTACAAGTCTAGTACGCGAAGAACACTTCCGCAGCTCCAGCTCGAAAATCGCAGCTTTGTAGTACAAGCCTAGGCTGTACGCGAAGTACACTTCCGCATCTCCAGCTCGAAAATCGCAACTTCTCAGTACAAGTATCGTATTTACAGAGCCGTGTGTTCGTTAAGGGTCATCGTTTCTGGGGGAGACCTCATCGTTTTCCATGGTTTTGGGATGTGTTACTCAAAAGCGTGCCCCGTCTTGATAAAGTGGTCTACGCGTGTTTTGTCCGTGGCTCATATGACTTCCCCACATTCGGCATGGGGTGTAGAGCTTGGATGGTGGCTTCTTGCAACCCAAAAGCGCCAACAGGAGGTACACGCCTTCCGATTGACAATAGAACGTGTACGTAAAACAACTTTTGTTTGAGGAATATCCATTTGGCGAACCCCAGTTTGGGGTTCCAACACCAGTTCCCCATGACCATAAGGTGCTTGGCTCAAGAATTCCCCACAAGCCAACAACCCTTCTATTTTTTCAGCCCCTTATATTGTTAAATTAGGTGACCCTGGAAACAAAGCGCCCCGGCCACTCGCACGTTTCTTCGCGCTTGCCAGGATGCGAGGCAGCGACTCCAGTCGACGCGGTGACGGCTACCTGGATCAGTGTCGTGGAGCTCTCCTTTTGGTTTCCCTTTAAACCAACCCCCAGAAGGGCACCCTTGAAAAGGACCCCCCAAAATGCGGCAGTTTTGTTGGTTGCCCTTTACAGTACACTTGAACGCCTAAGAAGAGTAACCCACAAGAATCCCCCGCTTGGCAAGATTGAAATTACTGAGGGACAACATCCGCGATAGGCACCAGTTGGCGGGTGGTTTACTCCAATATACTTCTTCTAGAGTTTCATTCATTGTAGGCAGGATTTCGCCCATCAGTATGGCTACACCGCTACAATTCGCCCATCTCAACAATATACAATCGATAGGTTCGCTTGGAAGACGAGGGTCGCTACTGACCATTTCAGTGCAGGTAGCAAGTGAATCGCTCGAGACGTTGCAAGTCATCGCTGATGGGACATGTCTACACGAGCTTCACTGCGTGGTTCGGTGGCCTCCTGAAACAGTAGTTGCTTCCAACTTGGTCAATCAAAATTCCATCCAATCCAGAGACGGCAATGAACAGCGCAAAAGAATGCCATCCCAGTTCAGTATGTAGAATCCTAGGTGTCGGCACCATACAAAGACAGCCGGACTTTGGTGTGAGCAATCTCGGTGAGAACTAAACAAAGGCAGAGACGGTGCCCCTGAGCAACGTTTGGAGCAATCTTACATCCTGGACCCATGACCAACATCCACTGAACAACGAGGCTAACCGCTTTCCCCCCAGCACCCAAAAGGTAAACGACTGGTCTTGCGATTTCGGCCTGCCCAGGATAGAGCTCCTGCAATTCCTGGATGAGATATCGCAGCAGGAAACTCTTCCTCAGGTGACACGAGCATCAAGGTGACACGCCCAGATAACACGGAAATAAGAGGTTAACAACCTTGCCTGACTATGGACCAACATTGCTTGCAATCTATTTCAAGGCAACCAAACGATTGAACGTGCGAAACCCTCAGATTTTGCTTCCGTGAATGTTGGAAAAAAGGGCCTAAAACGGACAAGAGGAGGTCAGGTTTGGTTCATCAGCTCAGGCAGCTGGAGGAGGGACCTTCTTGTCGTTGCGTGCTTCGCCTTGAGTTTGGTTGACCCCGACCCCCGCCCCTCGTTTGGTGAGTTTGATGATAGTTGGGATCATTGCTACCTCAGTTCCTCAGTTGCCCACAGGACCCAGAAATAACAGGTGAACGTTTCATTTCGTTACCCACGCCCAGCCACGTTCGACCAGTGCCCGCACATGTGACACCAATGCACTAAACGAGCGCGGAAGCCCAGTCGAAGGGACTGGAACAGGCAGCTTGAGCAGTACTCCGCACCATCTGACCATCCACAGGCACACAAAGCATGCAGCATACATGAGGCGAGCCCGCCCAAGCGGCTGGTCACACGCCCGTCTCAGGTCCAGCGAAGACCCAGGTGACATCGCTGGTCCAGCGAAGCGGAGAACCAGAAAGAAGAGCCAGCGCAGTGCAAAGGAGCTCAACGCGGGGCGGAGAAAGTGGACAATCAACAGAATCACCCCCATCCTCAAGAGACAAGCACAAGGAACAATGGAGGAGCTCCATTGCAAACGCATCCAGGCGAGCAACAAACACAGCAGGACGATCGCCACGACAGCCCTTTGAGGAGTCAAACCACCGCCAAAATACCAGATTGCCAAAGCACCCACAAAGGGGGTACACCACGGAGTAGAGAACGGAGGGCCACAGTGTGGAACATGGCTTAGTAGACAGGGAACGTGGCCACCCCTGGGGGCCTCCTACGGACAGAAACGCGTGGAAGGGGCTAACCTTTTGGGGGCCACGACAGACTCTAGACCAACAAGAAAAAACTGAAAAAGGTCCAAGGCCGATTCGCGTTGGGCAAGTGAGCAACCCTCCCAATCCCCCGGATTTTGGGCTAACACCTCCAGCCCACTTTCCAGGCCGAGCAGCCCAGTGCCCGCGGCGCCGGTCAGAAAGAGACTCTCGCCACTCAGCGCCCGAGTGGCTGCGGTTTGCTGTTCAGGCGTCAGCTGCTGGAAGCTGATGGTCTCCTTGGCAACGGATTTGCCGGCGGTTCGCTGATCCTACAAGTGGTTCGTTGATCCCTTGCGGCTAAGACGCTTGTCAATGGGATATTTTGTCTCTCCCACTGAAGAACAAACTTTACAACTAGATCTTGAAGGGTGTGGCTGGGAACTGCGAAGCTTTGCGAACGAGGAGTTTGGCGTGCCTTCAAAAGGCAGCCTGGAGCGGACGCTAGTCTCAGGAAGGACCACCCTACAAATCCAATTGTGGAAACATGGAATCCCCAAGAAGCTGTACGGTACAACCGTAGCACCTCGTCATTTTCTGTGCGAAACCTGAGTAGAGGGACTGAGTCAGACTCAAGGGTTTGAGACAAACATGGAACCTGTGCGAGTGAAAGAAATCAAAGCCTCCCCTAATGTGGAACCTCTTGTCAAGCCCCCTCTTCAGACGCGAAGAAGCCTCATATTAATATCATCTTTAAAAAGGCTATTGGCACACTGACACAGAAGCGCCTGGCCTAGCACCCCCCTCCAAACCCTTTCACCGTGTTTCCTGGACAGGAACCATGGTTTTCTCACACAGGTCTATCTTAGCAGAGCTTCCTTGCCATCGACCTGGCACTTCGTGGGCCTTGTGGGGAAAACACGACAAACAACCCAGGGATTTACCGCAGACCTGTCGCTTTGAAACACACACGCACCATGGTTACTGTTCCATGATTGTGGGCTTCCAACGGGTTTCACTCAAAATCCCTTCAAGCAGAACCCAGGGCTATGGGGGAAAGGGGCACCCCCAACATGGAACCAAGGGGCGAAACGGGACCTCAGCATGTTCCTTTAGCTGGTTCCATGTCAATCTGTTTCCTTGACCCCCCACTCAACCTGTTGGACCCTACAACCAAGAGGGAAAATGACACACATATGCCGCGTATGAGAATGACCTTGTTCGGTTTTGCGATACCCCAATATTGGCTGTGGATTTAAATACGCAAGCCTCTGGAAAGCGGTTGGTGGACATGAATCCCCACCCAAGTGATGTCCAATGGGTCCAATCCAATTTTTTGGGCCCAGACTCCTTGACCTCCTCCACCGGCTCTTCCCCAGGCTCGCCGGGCTCAAGGTCTGTCAACAAGTTACTTGCGCTCGCATTGCGCATGACAAAGGCCCTACCCACAAGTAGCCGGCATGACGCAAACAATGCCTATGGTGACAAACAACATGCGTCTTAGAAGTTTGACCTGGAGCTGATCGGGCTCTCAGGTATATCAGGCAGTCTTGGCAGTGGCAAGAGAGCTGAGACGGTGTCAGGCAATGAACCAGCAAGACTTGCCCAAGAGGCTGGCAACTAACAAGAAGCAAGTCTTGGAGCCAATCCATGGCTCAGGAGAGGACAAAGCTGAGCATGCACAAACTGGGTTGTTCCAAATGGAGACGGCGATCACCAATCCTAATCTGCGATAACACCACAAGGTTGAAAGGAAACCTGTCTCACTCTGAAAAAAGGCAAGCCCATAATTCAGGAGCCTACCAACCTCCTTTAGCAGTGCCGAAGGATTAAATGCGGCCAAATAAGCCAACACAAAGCCCCCCCCTAAAAAAAAACACATGCCAACCGAAAAATTGAAATTTATCGCCCCCTGTCCTCCAAACCGCCCGCATCCGCCCGCACATGACGATGACAATGTCTGAAAAGGGGAAGCCACGGTTGGACAAGTTTTAAAGGGAAACGGACATCAAGAGATGCCAGGTCAAGCAGTGCAAATTTAAAGGCGGGACTCAAGTCCCTAGAGAGACTATGAAACCAAGCCATTTGCAGACAAGTTGTGACCGGACCTCATCCAATGTCTTTGAATGCCCCACCTTCTGCTAGATGAGACCGTATCCTGCACGCGCGCCAACAGCTTCCGGAGGAGCATGGTGCATGAAGCTTGATTGGGGACACTTTGGTGGTCATCAATTGTATTTCGACTTCTGTATTTCATGGCCTTTCTGCCTGCTGTGTATGGGTGCAAAGCGCAAGCAACACATGCTGACTTAACGCGGTCTTGGAAGCTTCAGTTAGATTGACTCACAATTCACAAGTTGACTACTTTAGTAACTGCTTGAAGAGTGTCCTTCCCATGTCTGGGTGTTGAACAACTGAGACTGGGGCGAACCATGCTGCTTCCGCTCACAAAAAAGCGGGAAAGTGCCAAGCTTCGAGCCCAGGTGATGTGTTTGGCCAGTGCACTAGAAGGGCACGCGTCCTTCAACTGAACTCTTTGAGCCGGCTCCTCATTAGTTGATGCTAAAGGTTGACCTGGTTAGCTTCACTCGTGCCTCTGTTTGCACACACGCAAACAGGTAATTGTAGCAGAAAGCCGCAGATCCCCAAAAAGACAAGGCGGGTAGGGTGGGTGGGTGGGTGGGTGGGTGGGGTGGGTGGGATCGTCCTTCCCAAACCATCATACCTTGCGCGCCAACCTGTTGATTTCTGACAAGCCCCAACGAAGCTAAGACCCCGTATGGGCCCCCAGGTAAAACGCCCAAACTTCCAAATTGGAGGATTCACACCCATGCAAATCCAGTATCCCCTCACTCGGGCAGAAAGCTCAACTGGTTGCCATCAGAAAACCAAAAGGCCAAGTGGCCGGGCCAGCGTATCCCAAGCCCTGAGAACGGAACACGCGTCCTCTGCGGCCAGCCGCCTTTCTTTTTGAAGCGCTGGCGCCGGCCGGCGGCATTGCCGCCATTGCCGCCATTGGCCCGGCTCTTGCGCCATCGGCCTTTGGGCATGCCATCAACTGGGAACGAGTCGACCTGAAGAAGTGAACTTGCTGCCTGTGGAAAGAGAAACAAAGGATAAAACACAAACAACTAGCACTAAGTCTGGCACTGTCACAGGGAGAAGAAGCAAGTCTCAATGATTGTGGGTGAACCGTGCTGAATCACAAGGATTTAATGACCTCATATATCAACCGGAGCTTGATGAATGGGGGAAAACGGTCGATTTCACACCGAAACTCGTCAGGCCGCTGCATTTTCAGAAGGGTTGCCTTTGCAGCTGATCCAGAAGTTGGGTTTCATGGCCGATGCCAAAGAGTTGTTGGCGGCTTTTCAGCTTGATCCGGCACATCCAAACCACCATCGACATGAATGTCATGCAAGCTCGCAAAGAAGCCTCGGCAGAAGCGGGCATGGTTCCGTTACAGGGCAGACTTGCCGTGGTAAAGCGAACTCAAAGGGACCCGGTCATTGTTGTTTTTGTTGAAGAAAAGTTTCTTTCAACAAACAAAACATATGGACGCAGATGGAGGTTTGGGCGCAACGTGCGCAATTCCTACATTCGCGTCCAATGCTTCTGGGCTTGGCATAGACACGCCATTTTGTCCGAAGCAAGGCTGACTGTTCGGCCGTCTGCAATTCCAGCACGTACTAAAATAGCCGTTCGAAACATGCAGCACACACACACACACCAACCACCTTGGAAGCTGTCTGGCCTTAGAACAGAAGGCATGCTGACATGCAACTGAGAGAACAACAAACCTGTGCCCTGTTTGGAACCGGCGGTTCTAAATTTCACCTTCCAAACAGGGCCGGCCGAAGCCCGTTGCAGCATTCCCAAATATCCGATGTCTTGCAAACTTCTGCTTGCGACAAGGATGTGTAGACTCGAGTCTAGTGCCCATCTGGAACCAGCTCCTGCTGGTTGCTCGTTGGCTATAACAATGTAACTCTGCATCTTCCATTTGCTCTCAACTTGTATTTGCCAGCCATGGATTCTTCCCTTGAAAACCAAGCGCATGATTCGACATGTTTCAACTAAACACCGATGCGGCAAATGGAAGGCAACAAAAATCAAAGTGCATACCCTGCAGCAGCCAGACACAAATAGCCAAATAGCTCCTTCAGGGGGTTCCCTTGTGCTGGTTTACTTGGACAGTAGCGTGCGATGTTTCCAGCTGCAGTGGTTGAATTCCGGCGGAGGAAGGCGCGGCCGCGGCAAGGCCGCTTCAAAGGATTCATCTCCCAAGAAAGCTGCAACATCCAATGACAGCAATCTAGGCAAAGCACTGTCTTGGTGGTTTGTTGGGCCCTTGCTGACAGTTGATCTATTGGTGGGATATGTCCTACTACCTCTAAACTCCGTCCAATATTCTTGCTGATATGGCTAAGAGCTGCCAATACTCCAACTCTGAAACCGGGAATGATGTCCTAAACGATATTCATGGCCGTGCTGGGTTTACCCGTACGCTCGAAATTTGCGCATACTGCTTCTCACTTGCAACAAGAGCTCGGAATCAAAGGCGATAACCTCTTAGCACAAAACATGTTTCTCGAACTAGGAGAGCTTTTCAACATGGTTGGTTGTCTATCCCCCATCCAAACTCTGGTTGGATTGCTCGCAGGAAGGTAGGGGCATTCTCTTTTTTTTTGGATTGTTTGTTTAATACTTGTTTGGGGATAGGGACGCCACACATTTGGCGAGTTGATTCTGACCACTTCCTATCGATCTTTGGATAGATTCAAAAACAAAACAACGACCAAACGTCAGGGGCTTTGGGTGCGTTGGTTTGCCTTCACTCCCTCTCAGGCGTATTCCGTCGCGGCGTGTCCTGTGGCCAAGTCACAGGGCCGTACCAAGTCGCAATCCTTTTGAGTGAGGATCAGCTGGAAACCACGAGGGGAGGGAGACACAGATTACCTTACGGCAATGGAATGGGCATGATGAGTGCATCCCTGATTGATTGAAAAGCGTCCCCTTGAAAATGAACATTGATTGAAAAACTCCCTGTTCATTTAGTCACCAGGTTGATTAATCCAGGGCGGGCGCGGGGCGAAGTTGGTCCGCAGTTCCATATAGAGCCCATTGGGGCAAGGCTCCAGGAAGAAAACTATACGGACAGACTGTAAGCTTTGCATGAACAGGGCTCCCTATTTCACCAAAAAAGGGTCAATCACCGAAAGGACCCTCATTCTAGATTGGTAAGCAGTGCGCGATGTTCACAAAATCACCCATGGAGCGAAATCTGGGTTTGCCTCTTTGCTGCAACTCCCTGTGTGGTTAGTGCGAAGTGAAACCAGCAACAAAGCCAAGTTTGAGCCTGAGCAGTGGGCAGAAACTCAACCAGCCAAAACGCAGTGTTGTGTGTGTCTGTGTGTCTGTGTGTCTGTGTGTCTGTGTGTCTGTGTGTCTGTGTGTCTGTGTGTCTGTGTGTCTGTGTGTCTGTGTGTCTGTGTGTCTGTGTGTCTGTGTGTCTGTCTGTGTGTCTGTGTGTCTGTGTGTCTGTGTGTCTGTGTGTCTGTGTGTCTGTGTGTTTGTGTGCGTGATCGCGTGCGTGATCGCGTGCGTGCGTGCGTGCGTGCGTGCGTGCGTGCGTGCGTGCGTGCGTGCGTGCGTGCGTGCGTGCGTGCGTGCGTGCGTGCGTGGGTGGGTGGGTGGGCGGGTGTGTGTGTGTGTGTGTTTCACTAACATGGCCCATGGCTTTTGGTACACACTCATGAAACCAAGCACTAGACCAATCTCAAACATGGCTCCCACGGAGGCTTTGGGCGCTGCTAGTGCACTTGGATCGCAAAGACATAGCTGGGTGACCATCTATCATCAACCATACTTTTTAACCTGAAATGCAAGTGATTTGAGTGGCACAAATTTGTGGTTTGATCACTTTCCTTTGCCCGTTTCCGGGAACGGAAGGCCCGTTTGGGGATGTGTCAAAAGACAAACAGGACGGTTTGCTAAAGGGCATCACTACCACGGTTGTCTCCTTTTGGTTGCCCTATCAAACACCAACAGGGGCAATCCTGTTTGCTTTTCCAAGAACACGAAAAGCAGTGGACTCAGCTTTCCCCACGACAATGTCCTTGCGCCAGGCGCGACAGCCTGCAAAGCAGCTCCAGAAAGGGCGTCCCCCAGTGGGATATTCTCACCGGAAGCTTTTTTTGATTGTGGGCCACTTGAGCCCAAAGCCCGGAGACAAAACAAAATGATGACACCAAGAACAACATTGTAAACCAACAAATCAACCGATCGCCCTTGGACAGAGACCACGGCTTTCGGCATGCCTTGTTTCCTACATGGAAGACTCAAATAGCGCCATGTTGCACTCACTGCTGGAAGTTGTGGTTAAGACTCACGGATGAGGACCTCGCGTGGCATTCTTCCAGGGATGCACCCCAAAGAAAAACGTGGCGTTGATACATAGCACTCCGGTCGCTTTGGAGGCCGGCAGCCTCTCCCACAGGCATGCTGCGCGCAAAGCGGGCCTTGGCTCACGAACAAACATCACTTTGCAGAGTCACCCGGTGCAGAGTCAGAGCTTCTTGGCCAGACTTCCCTCTGGATCAAGGTTGCCAAGATTTGAAGCTTGTCCCCATCACAAACGCTTGCTTTGCCGGGTTACTCCGAATATTATAGAATTCCCCCAAAACACAAGTAATAGTCGAATTTGGCAAATTTTCCCTCCGTCCTTAGAAAAAGGGGCTCACTTCTTTCAGGGTTGACCATTTTTGGCGGGGACCCCATCCATTCAAGGGATCTTATTTCACAAGCCGAGGGTAGTCCTGGCTCTGCCCCCTCCAGACTTAAGGAAGCTAAGGAACCCGTTTGGCGGAAAGAGGGTTCTCCTTACGGAAAAACAGACTTGGGTGGGCTCCCTTTGGTTTCGATTTTCCAGAGGATAACCTGAACAAAAATACATACTCAGTGGCTAGTGGCTGAGAACCCACGGGAACCCGAACAAAAAGAAACATGGAACCTGAAGTCTGGGGCCTGCCTGGGGCCTCCTTTTAGGTTTCATGCTTTTGGTTTTTGGGAGGGTATCACCTATTGGCAAGTTCAGCTCTGGGCACTCCGACAAGCCAACAGGATGGACGACGGTGCTGTCCAAGTCCTGTTCCGCGAAGCGCGTGTACCAAAGTCCAAGAAACCTACCTGGAGTCGGTCGTGAGCGGTTCAGGGTTAAAACCCATCACGGGAACTTAGCCATGCTGGAACTTAGTGGCGAACTTCTCGCCGACCTTGCAGGAAAGTGTGAATCCACTGCATTATTTGGGGAATCCAGTGTGTTTGTGTGTGTGTGTGTGTGGGTGTGTGCGTTTTCTTTTGAGTTGTTTAGGGGCATCCTGTTTTGTTGGCTGGTTTGCAGCCCTTCCTCCCACGACAAGCCATGGTTGCGGAAATTCGCGCACTTCTATTGCCACAAGGTTCATTCCCTCATTCCCCGCTGAGCATCGGCAAGATATACCAGCGTGGGTCATTCCTACGACTGCCTTTGTCACTTTGAAGGTGATTCTCTTGTAACTCAGACCGACCACAAAGACAAGCTTCCATGTGAGAAACCCGTCCTGTACTTGGGCATGGGCACGTACGGCTGGCGTTCCTGACCTTTCGGCTCCTGTGCATAGCGGCGCTGAGCCGAGCTGCGCATGTGACAGTGAGGCAAAGGCTGATTGTGCGGATATACATATATAGTGTCGTCAGCATGTCGTTTTTTAAAGCCCCCCAAGTCGGAAACTCCCGACCGACCCGAGCGCGCAACTGGATGAGTTCGCAAAAGCATCTGACAAACACCCGCATGAGTCATAATCAAAACCTGATAATGGAAGGGGCTACCCAGACCCATGCAAAGAATTAAAGTTAGAAGAGGCGTGTGCACCCCAATTCTGGTTGGGATTACCCCTTACAAAGTTTCATATACTGTACCCAGGTTTTGAGCACGTGGCTCACCTGCTGTCGCTACCTTCTGCGACCCTGCTGTCCTTTTTGCCTTCCTTTCAAACAAACCGACCAACAAGGGGAAACCCCCTCAAAAAAGAGAGGCACACCCACATATCACCCACATGGCCGTCGCAACCCACTGGCCCATCCTTTCACAACTATCTGAAACATAGATATGTACATAGCTAACATATATATATATATATAATATATATATATACACGTGTATGTGTATATATATATATATATGTATATTCATTTTCATGATTACATACTTAGAAGTTAACTGGCCCATGAACCAGGGCCAGAGCTTCAAATGGGCTGCTATGTTTGATTTGAAGGTAACATCTCTGAAGTACTTTAAACCTAAACCCCCTCTCCCGTTTTGCAACGTGGACAGGATCCCATCCCGCCATGCCACAATACCTTGAGGGCTTTTTTGGAGAAGTCGTGCCCCCAACCGCTGACATTCATAGCCAAATCTCACAAGAATCAGAAGGGACAAGCCCACACAGGGACAAGCCCAGTTCAGTCTGGCAAGTAACGTCTTGGGGGCTGCGAAACCCAACAAAAATCGCCGTCCTGCAGCTTGGGGGCGGGGGAGCTGTGCATCCGCTGCGGCGAGCCCGGCAAGCCTCTGAGCTGGCGAGAGTATCGATAACCATGACCGAGCTGGCTGCTACAGTACCAGACCCCGAGGTACATTTAAAAAGAAACTTAAACTGGGTTCTCCGCAAATGCCTTTAAAGCGCGATATTTGGAGGGGGTGTGTGGGTCAAACATCCGCAAACATCAGCACCCTGGCAGATGGAAACAAGCACTTTTTTTTTTTTTCGCTCAGTTCCCACGCCTGCGAAGTCGCCTGGGCTGCGCCAAGGACTGCCCGTCGAGGGCGTCAACGCGTGGCACTGGCTCCTGCACGACAACATGAGTCATCTCCGAAAAATCTCAAGAGGTGAATTCCATCTCTGGAGGCTTCGTTTTGAAGGGTCGCCTTCGTTTTACAGGGCTTTCGCCCGATTCCACCCGAATACATGCCCTTGAGGCGGAGTCATTTGGGGATCCCTCGCATGCCTTCCGGGTCCCTGCCAAACAGCGGCCAAGAATGGGTGGCACCCTATAAATTGGGGTGGGGGGGTCCATTTGGTTTCCCTGCAGCCACCGTCCCAAACAGCTCCTCCTGTTCCGTGACTCCTTTAAAACCCGTTAAAATACTGAACTCATGGTTTGAGGGCGATGGAGACTCCAGGCACAACAAGTACATACACAGCTATGATATGATAACAATAAATAAACATGCTGATAACCAGACACTCATAGCTGGGAAACTAGAAACACAGTATATTGCAAGACCAGTCTCGATGGCTAGATGAATGCAGAATTGGGTACGTAGACAACAAACGTAGCTCAATCAAGAAACACATGCAAATACACCGAGCAAGAATTGATAACACTGTTCCTTCACTTATCTGCAATTCCTGAGAATGACTGGCAAATCTTCCTTGCTAGCTTTTTCAGCGCTTTGCACCAGCACACAGCGCAAAGCTCTGGTGACCAACTCCCTGCCTGGGCAGATCGCCATAAACAAAAAAGACACTTTTGCATATGCCAGTAAAACGGCCTTCCCAAACAGCGTAAAGTCCTTCAACTGGGGAGGCTTCATCCCCTACCCTCCCTCCCACTAACATGGCAACTGACAGGGGCTCCCTTCAAAAGCAAAAAGCAACATCTTCCAGGTACCTGCCGACAGGTGCCATGTTAGTTGGAGGAAGGCTACGCCTTTGTCCCCTCCTGGGCGTCAACCGCGGAGGAGTGCCCACCTCCGGCGTTCCCGGCCCGGGGCGGGCGCTAGGCCCGCCCCTCGCGCCCCGCGGGGCGGAGCGCGCAGAGCGCGGCAGCGGCGCGGCGCGGCGCGGCTCCGCGGCAGTGAAGGCGCGGTGGGCGCGGTCCGCGGCGCGGATCCTTAGGTCCCTGAAATCAAAAGAAACAAGGCCTCGACAAAATGGCATGACATCCCAATCCAAATACTGCAAAGCGGTTTTTCTCACTGACTCGTAAGGCCGTTCATTTTGGAAGCCTTTCAAAGAGATACAAAGGCCTCTAGGTCAGGTCTGAAGCCCTCTTAGGTTCAGACCTCTATGTTCGAGTTCTGAGCCGAGGACGGCTTTCTGAACAGCTCAAGTTGCTGCGAGGTGCACCCAAAACCTATGAACTTCTGGTTCTACCTGGTGGGAAAGGTTTATAGAGGCCGCGGTGCAGATGGCAAGCAGGGAATAGAAGCCCATTCAACAGCGTCCCTATGACACCAAAGTGCCTGGGGTATCGCCTTGAAGGGGCGTAACCTCCCCCTTTCCAGGGATCCTGCTTTCCGACAAGGGCCGGTTTTGAAGGAAGCGATAGTTGAAAAAACACCACCCAATAGAAAATCCCGAGGTGGCTTCCCCCATAGCAACCCCCAGAATCCTTCCAGAACCCTCAAAACAAACAGCTTGCCAATGGGAGATGGGAAGATGGTCAAATGACATGCAAATAAATCCGTCGGATGCCTTGAACAAAGACTTGGAATGCAACAACTGGCTTGCTCTCTTTAGGGGGTCCCGGTATTTCTGGAAATGTGCTCTACAGGCTCAGAATGTCAACTAAGCATCGAAATCAAAAGGAGCCCAAAAGGTTAATAGGTTGATTCGCGTTTGAGTTTCAAACCCAGACAGGATCGCTTCCCTTTGCAGCCAGAAACGCTTGGCTTTGTGTCGAGGATCAGCTCACACAGCGAAGGCTCCGAAGTAGGCCGCGGAGACTCCTGCGGCACCTGTGCCAAGGCTTGGCTGGGAGCAGGCAATCGATCTACGCAAAATACAAACAAACCCCCAAATCGAGAAAGATCAAACCCCAAGTAAGGGGCCGCCAACGTGGTTGAGCGCGTTTCCCGGTGAGCTCATAACTTGTGCAGATTGATTCGCCATTTGCAAGTAGGGAACAATCCCTAAGAGTTTCAACCCCCGAACAAGAAAAGCAATAAACATTACTATGTGAGGCTAGTGCAAAACCTCAGGACCAAGGTCGCGCGGAGCCTTGCTAAAATCATCCCTGGCCCATGCGTCCCACACCGGATAGGCCCATGTGTTTGGAATTCCTTGGGAACCCATCGTATGCTGAACGCTGGCTCTGGAATCCCTTTCTTACTTTTGAGTGTTTCTCTGTGGTGGACGAACTGCTCCCCACAAGACTTGCCTGTCAAGTTCGGAATGAAGAGTCGCCCTCCTTCTCCTTGAAATTCTCAAGGGCATTTGCCCATGGCGGTGATTGATGCTACCATTTGGGCATTCTGAGGACTGTCCCCCGGGCAATTGACATGATTTCCAACCCGGAAAGAAGTGACCCCCATCCAAAGGATATTCACACTGGGTATGCTCGTTTTACCCCTTGTATGCGTGAGCTCGCAATGCTTTGCCTAAAACAAGTTCTGGGAACATATTGGCCTCTCCACTCCAGTGAGGGCTTAAAGTGAGAGACTGAGGAGCAAGTTTCAAGATCTCAAGGACGCAGCCCAAATTGCCAAGCTGATTTTGAATGCGGAGTCGCTCGTTGGTGGTTGCCCATGCCCTCGCAGCGTTGCTTTTTGAAATCCATGAAGCAACCTCGGCATTGGTCCCAGACCTCCCATGGAGTTTCGCAGGGAAGAAAGGGTACTCTGTGTTTGGCGGTCGCTTCTAAAGGGAATCCACCTTCAAGAAAAGGGTGCCATTGGAAGTCTGGGCGGGTCTGTCGCGCGCAGGCTGTGAGCCTCCATGCCGCTGTGAACTGCGGTCTGCCGCGAGTTGTGCATCCCAGATTTCGAGACGCACTCGCAACATCGTGAAGCAACGAAACTTTGCAGTGGGACCTTCCATTTGCTGACATTGGCAAATTTACAATGTTTGCCAGTTATAACCAGTTCCCTCTGCAGCATTCTGCAACTAATAACAAGGAGAAACTGCCAACACAGCGTCTTAAGCAAATGGAACGCACCCACAAAGGGCTCTGTGCGCCCCTAGCTCGAGATGCAAGGGCCGACTTCACCAAACCACTACCGTCTCATCCTTCCGCAGTGCTGCGAAGCTGTCGCTGGAGCCAACAACTTGCTGCACCTCCTCTGCAAGGTGCTTTCCGATAGGATAAAATCCTAATTTTGTTTGTCCCAAGATACGGGAACCCCCAAAAAGGGTGTCTTCCTTTTGGCTTCCCTTTAAAATTACTCCAGAAGGGGAATGCTCGGAAGAAAACAAGCCCAATTCATGACATGACTCGCTTCCTCCATTGTCTTATCAACCATGAGTTTAATTATGATCATTTTGCACTTGAAGACTGTCCTTCAGAGTAGTCCGGGACAGATTTCTTCTGCAAATTGGAATCCCACAACCAGGTGGCCCCCAAAAGAAGTGTCCCTCCAAACCTGATGTTTACCGAGGTTCTCCAGAGAAGAGGTCCTGGTGCCCCACTGAGCTATTACTCAATCACACGCGGGGGCTGTTCTTACAGTGTGTTTGAACAAGCAACTCCTGGTTCCATCCGGAGGGAAGCCAGAAGGATCCAGAAGGAGTTGTTTAAGCAATAGTGGCTTTAATATGCTTTAACAAACCACCTGAGGCAGGGCCTTTCCTTGTGCTCTTCAGCCTGTGAGCAGCGAATCTGGCTGATACCTGCATGCTCCAGTGACCCCCCATAGAGTTCCTGAAAACGCGGCCTACCCTGTCGGAAGTCAGCAAGACCAACCATCTAAGCCCAACCCCATCAAGTGCCAATGGGGAGTTTGTGTATTGATGTGTATTGCAACAACGATACTGACCAGCTGACTTAACTGGGCAAGCAAGCTTTAAAACTTGAACACACCTAGCAACACATACTTAAACTGTGATGACCCAACACCGAAGTGTAACTTTGCGGCCGCCCCCCGTCAATATTCTGAGTGTCCTCTCCCCTTTCATGCAGCTCAGGACCTTTGAGATTCCTTCACGCCGAACAAAGTTGAACAAAGATGGTACTGGAGTCACTGGAGGTGTGGCATACATAGAACCCGCACTGCTATTCAGCAACCTGAATTCAGGATGCCCTAAGTAAGGGACCTTGATGGGGTAAATCGCTGGTTTTGCGCCAATCAATAAGCTCGCCATGAATTGGCGCAAATGAAACAAAACCCCTTTGTGGGAAAAGGCTTGGGCGGGGTGGGGGGGGGAAACAAAAGGCACCGATTTCGGCTGGTTGATTTGGAAGGGGGGCATCCCAATGGAAAGAACGGATCAAGCTGCACTGGAGGTCCTGGGAGACAATGAGAACCAAACCATTTGGAGAACCCCTCAACACACCCAACACAAGTTCAGAAAGTGCAGAAAAAAAAAAACAGATGGCTCCATGCAAATTCGAAAACCTTTGCAACACAAAGACTATCGTGATTTCATCTCCTGACCCTGGCAAGCAAAATACCATGGGTGACCCAAGGGTTCCAACTGCCTTCCAATCAGATGCACAGATTCTGCTTCGATGATTCTGTTTCTGGGAGACCTGGGATCGCATCGAGGTTGCTCAAAATGGTGGACCCCTTTCGGTATTTCAAGGGAAACCAAACGGAAACCCTTGCCATTTTAGGGGGCCGAAACCCTTGTCATTTTAGGGGGCCCCTACTTTGAGAAGCCTCCAAAGATTTGTATTGCCTTCAATTCTGTAGATAGGACACAGGGGGAGACCCCTATTGTAAGATTTAGAAACATCCATAAAACCAAATTCTTTGGTCCGGTCCTGTTGAGACAAGCTTTTTTGAACATCTCCGAGTGTCATTGAATGTCAAAAGATGAAGCCAACATTTACCCGCTGCCAAATCACAAACTTTGCACCCCCCCATTAAAAAATCACAAAAAAAAACGTGGATTTCCATTTGGTTTCTCTTACAGCCACCACAGAAAGTGGGTAGAGCCAATCAACATGTCAACCAACCCGGCGGCCCAGCCCTAGAAAGTAAATAGATAACATCAAATAAACTCAAAAACAAAAGGCAGCAAGAACAAACACACCTCATCCCCAAAAAAGGAATACCCTCAAACCAGCTCCCACCCCCTCAGTCCTTGAGCTGCTCCTGCACCGCCGAGCTATCGCCGCCCCCCGCGCCGTGACCCCAGGTGAGCACCGTGCCCTCCGCCGTCAGCGCCGCGAAGGCGTAGTTGGAGGCCACCAGCTGCCTGTCATCTGCGCTCGCGACGACCGGCGACATGCGGCGACATGCGGCGACATGCGGTGAATTCCCGGGTGACGCGGCGGTTTCCGCCCCGAAGCTTTTTTTGGGGGTGAAAGACACAGCCCGTAGATTCTTGCAAGGGTTCTGGGCCGGGGCAAGAAAAAGGGAAGAAATGAAAAGGGAAAAGCTGAAGACGCACCCGAAGGCGAGGGCAGTAGAAGGACTATAATGGAGTTCTGGGGCATTTTAAGACTGATCTTGGTCATGATTCTGGGAGTAAACTGTTGGTAATTTCTTTGGCCCTTATGTTAATCCGGTCAAAGCGGGCCGGACGAGAGGCTCGTTGTGGGTCTCCAAACGGATCAATTGATCACAAGGGAAAATATATTGGGAGTGCGAAGGAAACCCAAATGCTTCTAACTCTGGCAATGCTTCTAACTCTGCTTACTTGCCCGACTGGGAAACAAAAGGTTGACCCTAGAGCTGGTTATCATTGGAAAACCGAAAGCTTACAAGCCTACCAACTGTCCCTTGACACCTGCCTCAAAAGTACCACGACACCCTCTGGGCCAACTGTTTATGGCAAATTGAAAAGCGAGTCTGGGAATTGTGGGCTTCCTAGGATTCATTGGACATAAGGGCCCTGAAACTGCCTCGCCGGAGGCGTCAAAACTAGAGGACCTCTCTTGGTTCAACTTTTAGAATCTTGGCTAAACAACTTGGAAAAGCCAGCAGGCCGAAAGGTGGGGGCAAATCAGCAATGTTGTTAAAACAAGGGATCCCTCTTACGTTCCCACAGGAGACAAGCAGAATGAAAGCAGCCGTTTGAAGAGGCATCTTAATGAAGAAGCACACAGAACTCCCTGAGGGCCAAGTCTTTTGCATGCCTCAGTTTCTTTAAGGATTGTTCGTGTTACATATTCCTTCATGTTGACGCCGGATTGGTTCACCTTTCGGATTCATTTGGGCGGTGCAACTCCCCCAAAGTTATCCAGATCCTCTGGGACCCCCAAAAATGAATCAACCAGGGCGTACTTAGCCTGGGTTGCCAGTGAAGCGGGCCTGGGGCTCCCAGTTCTGAAGCGCAGATTTGTTTGGCAAGTTGCTGGTCAATGGTTTTACAGGCCTCAGCATAATCCCCAATCCAACCAGGGAGTAAAACTCCAGGGATTCCACCCTTGGGAAATTGTTCCCAAACAAGAAGACCTAAGATGCAGGAAGTTGCCGAATGTTGACCCAGGTAAACCAAGATCACTTGCCCACAAGGCATGGAAAGAAAGTCAACCTTTGGGGGCCTCAACCAAAAAGTAGACCAACCAGGAAAAAGCACATAGGTCAACAGGTCGGCTTTGGGCAAGTGAACAAAGGCAAAACGGGACAAATTGATGGGCCCAAGTCCAAGTGGCTGCAGGTCGCTCAAGTGGGTCAGCCCGCTCTGCGCGCCATAGCGCTCATCCCCCCACAGCACCAGGCGCCCGTCGCGGCAAACGGCCGCGAAGGCACCGTCAGATCCAACGATCTCCTGGACCTCATGCAACTGATCCTGGGGCATTTTTCTGGATGGTGCATGGACGCCTCCTCTTTGCGCGTTGCTCCGTGCTTTGTGGTAAAATAGATGCTCACCCCCAAAGCCATCCAGTTTTTGTTTGATCGGTTTTACATGGAACACAGGTTGTCTGCAAATGGATATGTATCCCTTTTTGGCGGACACCGCTTTTGGGGTTGGAAAAAGGGGGCAACCCAAACTTGGCTTCGCTTTCGCTTTGGTTTTTCGTTCAAAAGAAACCCACCGCCCCTGGAGCCACCCTGAGCCTGATATGCAACTAAATGTTCATGCTTTTTTGAATGGGTACTTGACATGACATTCTCACTAGTGACTGTCACTAGTCGGTGTGAAGCTTATAACTTATATGGATATGCCGGTGTGCGTGCAGGAGTTGGTTGGGTTCCTTTTCTCTTGACGGTTGCACAGACTTTGACTTCACAGACTTTGACGAAGCGGGCTTGTGAGTTGGCATCTTCCCAGGAGCCATGAATGAGCTATCTTTGACGGTGTAGCTGAGTGGTAGAAGTGTAGGCTCTTACATGAAAAACAAGTCTATCCAGCTCCACGTTGACTAAAACCTCTTTGAAACAAGCACATCGAATTTGCGCTCTTGAAACATCACCCGCTGCCAACCATTTACTCTTGTGCATACTTGGCACTTTCCCCCCTTCAACAAAACCTCAGCAACCATAAAACAAGATAACATGCGGGTGTGTTTATGTTTCTGGTAATAGGGAGACCGCCCGCGGCCGACAAAAAAACAGTTCAGGTGATATGTCCCCAACAGCATTCAGTGCTCTTTTTAGTGCTCGCACCACCCCGCAGCCCTCGCAGAACCTCGTGGAACCCTGGTGGAACCCTGGTGGAACCCTGGTGAAACCCTTGTGGAACCTTACCTCAGGGCCGCCCCGGACCACCCCGGAGCCTGTCTGGGCTGAGACCCCAAAGCTTTCAGCTGTTGGGGAACAATAAGCTCTCGACTGCTGGTCTGCAACGCCCCCCCCCCCCAACAAAAAAGAAATAAGCTCGGGCGATATCCCCAACAGCAGACGGTGCGATCGGGGCCGATCGTCCCGTGACGCCGGTGTTCCCTAGCATGCGGATTGCAACTGTATCTATAGCAAAACTAGGCGATGCCCGACTGAGTCGGGCCCCGATCGGGGCGCGATGGCGCAATCGGGGCCGATCGGGCCCAAACGGTGCAATCGGGCCCCGACAGTGCAATCGGGCCCCGACCTAGGCCCGGTGAACCTCGCACTTTCGTGGAGCTCAGCGTGAAACTTTGTTGGAACCTTTCCTCAGGGCTGCCAGAACCTGGTGCAATCCTTGTGGAACGCTTTTGGAACCTTACCTCATAGCCCTCGCAGCCTCGTGGAATTCTTGGAGCCCAAAGCCCACCAAGCAGCAAGGCCAAGCATTTACTCTGCTGCACCGTGAGTCCCGCAGCGACGTGATCTGATTTGCCACAAAGCCAGCATTTGCCTGAGCAAGTGAGCAAGTCACAAGACAGTGAAAGTGTGCTAGAAACCATGGATTTCGGCTTTGCTTAGTGTTCCGCCCATGAGCAAAGCGATCTTGATCCGATGGCTGTTCAGACGACGGGCGCACGACACACTGCTTCCCTCCAGGGCAAACCACGGAACCGCAGAACATTTCTGGAACCCTTGGTGGAACATTGTGGAGCCTTGTGGAACGGAACCCTGAAACCACCCCGCAGCCCTTGAAGAAATTGGCGTCCGGAGCACGACGGGCTGGTGGAACCCTGGTGGAACCCTGGTGGAACCTTAGCTCACGGTCGCCCCGAACCACCCCGGAGCCTATCTGGGCTGAGACCCCAAAGCTTTCAGCTGTTGGGGAAAAAACAAGAAACAAAAACAATTGAGTACCCTCAACAAAAGACATGCCTCTTGGAAACCCTTTCGCGGACATCATTTACATAGACTTTGTATCCGCTCACCATGTTTGACGGTTGTCTGGGGCAACCACACATTTTCTGCTATTTAGCACCCAGCTGTGACATTCATACTTCTTTTCCCAGCTCCTGCACAGCACTGGCGTCGCCGCCTGAGCGACGCTTGGAGATATGGAACACATGCGCCAAGATCCAGAAGTTCGGCGGAGTCGCAGTTCAGTGACGCTTGGGGTTGACCATTTGTTGTGCGAAAACCACCAAACTAATCTGGAAAGGACCCGACCGAACAGCTCGGCCCCGAATTTTGACAAATGTGGCCGTTTACCGCTTACGGGTCTAAATGGGATCTTCTGGTGGAAAAGGAGGGTATAGGATGTTGCACGCAGTGCAGTGTT